CATTTTGAGGTAATTGTATTTATAAGTTATTTTCTTACCTAATAATAATATACGCGTGAAATTGAAACATATTGATAAGATCCAACCAATGATAGAAAAAAAAGTATTCATAAATCACAAAATCTGTTCGGTAAGTAGATGTCACAGGCTGATGCTATTCTCATCAAAATTCTTTTAATAATTAGTATTACAAATGGGTATTTGTAATGAAATATCCTTATTTTTTAAATTAATATAGACAGCACCAAATCGTTGTCGGGATCCGCTAATTCAATTCTTAACGTACAATTGAAACATGATCGGCTTGATTATCGCAATGGTAATAACTTTTAAAACACGCTACGAAACCTCTCAATATAATGTTTATACATTAAATAAAAGTAACCCTAATAGATATATTATAATATAAATCCTCTTCGCTATTTTTATCTTTTTAGTTGGCTCAAATATAGAACTCAATCGAGAAATAGCTCATCAGCGACTAAAAGAATTTTCAAGTAAGAGGATAACTTTCATATTTTGGTTATTTTTTTAAAATAGACGATTTGCTCTAATCTTATACAAACCTTTTACACCAATATTTGATGATTTTATTTATTAAGTTATTAAACTGCCAAAGTGCTATAACATTGAGTAATGCAGTTATCGTTTCCATAGAATAGGCAATGCAGTACGTATACGAGTATATATATTAATAGCCAAGCGCAAGGGATGATTGCAACAATAACAGGATTTCATGTTTGAAACATTTTACTGTATATAGAAACTATGGATCTTGAATGGCCCTTCGATAAACTGAGTAAACGTTAAGTTCCAATCCTCTAATGGGCAATTAACAATTTCTGACCGGCCAATGAAGCTAACAATTAAAATAAGTGGCTGCAAATTGTTACTACTCATGCGAATAAAGATTTTATGGGAATGGATACAAAGTTACGTTCGTGAATTTTAGCGTAGCGGAAAGATCAAAATTAACTGGACGAAACTATGATGTACTTAAACATTGATTAATTCCAGAACTAAAATAAATGCTAATATAGTTGTACTATATGACTATTAGGATTTATGATTTGAAAAAAACTTGAAAGATCTTAAAATTAACCACACCACATTCAGGTCACTTCTAGGATAGAATTAGTTGAAAGTTTAGGTTGTAATTTTAAAGAATTTATGATTTTTTGTATTATTAATCATGCCTTACAATAGCAATAGTAAAATATTCAATTTAGGTATATAGAATGATAAATATACTTTCAGATCAATTTCAATGAAAATACAATTACGAATGATAATTTATCGTGGTGACTACAACTTTAGATACAATGTTGTTACATTCTGTGTGCTTCTGAATGGAAATTACTCATTAATAACTATCAACTTGACGGTATTCTTACACCACAAACGGAAATTGACTATCTTTGGTTATATCATTAGTATTATTGATTTAATCAGCCTCAAACGAATAATTAAGTACTTGCTACATAAAAAAGTTTAACCTGTTTGGGATATAGTTAAGATAGCTATCACGGTTCAATTAAGGTTACTGTTGTCATTTTGTACATAAGTTCAACATAAGAGTACCGTGCATATCGTCTAAATTCGAAAGCGACTGAATTAATCAGACCGATAGTGCATAAAGACGATAAAGCTTTAAGGTATTTGATCACCAGTATGTCTCCATTACAGTAAAAATTTAAGTTCTATACAATATGTTGCCTTAATGCTATTACACGTATTTAATTATGAGAATAAGAACTATAATTATATTTCGTCATCATCGTCATCGTCGTCAGGAAAGTATAAATTTCGCTTATAAGAACCTTGATTTTCATCTAAGAAAAAGCCGTATGATCCTTTCTTGCAACATAAACAACCAGCTGATGAATTTCGACCTTTATAGCCAGTAACGTGACTTAAATATCTTGACCGTCGTTTGTTAGCCCGATAGCGACATACGACTGTAACAATAACAAAAATAGCTAAAGGTACGACAACGACTAAAACTAATACCATTAGTGCAATACTAGCAAACGATAGATTGAAAAAGCCAGCTGGTTTGCTTGTGGAAATAGTAGCATGATCAGTTTTGTCATGCTGGGTTGTTACTTTGCTAGTTTGAACCTTTGCAGTAGTCGATAATTTTATATTATTTGCTGTAAGAAATAGCATTAGCATTTGTTAGAAAATTATTAAAACTATATATACAATGAATTTTAAGGTAACAAGGTCTCACTAACTGGATTTGCTTTGACAAGGTCCGTGATTAAGGATAGTTAGGACTTTACTGTTATTACAGGCTTCATACCGGAGGCTGCATTCACTGTTGTATGTTTTACCATCACTGCCACAGACTTGTTTCGAATTTTTAGGGTCGTACACACACATTGGATCACATTTTCGTTCTTTTCATATATCAAAAAACCATAATTATTTTCAATTCGATGACAGTTAATTGTGCCGTCGTGGATTAATCATATCCGATTTAACCGTCAGACTATTATCAATCGCAATTATTCTGTTACCTGTTGGCTTCGGTTGCGTATTTTGACGCTTGCAAGGGCCAAAATGAGAAATTCAATAATTTGACCTGTTTTGCATATTGTATACTTCATTAAACATTCATTATCGAATGTTTTACCATTACTTCCGCAGATAGGGTCGTAAATTCTTGGGCAATCATCTTTACATGATTCCGCTAGGAAAGGGAGAGCAAAAACGTTATGGGATTGTTAACAAAATTAACAGCATAGATTATTTATAGCAATACAGTAATTTAATTAAAAAGTTGTTTCATGCATGTAAATCGTTCTTACTAGGTTTCGGTTTGCTAGTTGTAGGTTTTGGCTTCGGCTTGGGGGTTGCTTTACGTGTCGTTGGGATTGGGCACGGACCCTCTTCAACTTTTGTAATGGTTAAATTTTGAATACAGGCAAAATGCTCTAATAAGCACTGGTTGGTGTATGTTTGTCCATTGCTACCACAAACCGGACTGTACGTTTGAACGCAAGTTTGAGTGCATTTTTTAGTCGTCCCTAAAATATACAGTAGGCGGCGAGTCATATGTAAATTTGATTTAGTTGATGCTATACAAACTATATAAGAGTAAAACGGAGTAAGTTATTTACCATGCATGGTTGGCTTGTGGACAGAGTTATGGGTATTGTACATAAATTTTAGTATTCTTCCACCCTTCAATTCCACAACATAGACCGCTGAATTATCAGGTGAGACAGCGATGTCATGGGGATCATCGAAATACTATTAGAAAAAGTTCCAGTTATAAAAATGACAATGATGTGTTAGCTGAGTGTATAAGTAGCATGTTTCAAATGCTGCCTGCTTCTTACTTCGTGATTGGGTTGCCATGATTGCATAACACTACCAGTACTAGCATCAAGAGTATAGCCACGTGAAATTTGCTTATCTCCATCTCCCTCTTTGCTAACCGCGTACAAGACACCGCCTATGGATCATGTACATTAATAATTAGTTCAGAAGAGGTATGAAATATAGGTTTCAATTGGTTACTAAATTTTTCAATAGTACAGTATAACAACTTACCAAATGCCGGATTAAATTTAGCTGAAACAACTTTTAGCCGATTATTTTTGCCAAATGGAATAAAGTGCAAATGTTTCATATCAATATGGAAAATAATATCGTTGCGTTTGTCAACAACGTACAGTTTATCATTTTCATCGTCAATTGTTACGCTGTGTATAATTTGCTTTCTATTTTTCATAAAGTGATAAGCTGTATATAACGTAGAAAAAGCAAAGTTTTACTTCAATATAAAGATATAAGTATAGGTGTTTAGTACAAGAAAGAAAGTAAAGTGAATTACCAATTGGCGTGAATTCATCTAGGTAGCTACCATCTGGGCGAAATCGTACAATTCGACTATTGCAATACCTGCTCAGCCGTTGAATATTGAAAGAATCGATCAATTAGTTGCAAATATTTACATACAGACTCAGTTACAATTATTTAGAAATAAATATTTTCTGATAGTTTAACGGGCACATACATACCCATCTGCTACGTAAATAATTCCAGTTTTTTTAGATACAGCAATACCACTAGGTTGGCAAAAATGCTTTGTATCATTCCCAGGTTTAAATTTAACTCCTAATACCATTGACGGTCGCTTGCTATTTGCTTTAAATTTATAAACCTATCATAGCATCGAATAGAACATTTTTCATCAACCTAGTAAATTGATGGCGTTCCAAATATTTATAATAGAAAAATTAAATTACTTACCTGATGTAGCGCAGAATCGGTAACCCAAACATTATTTTTATCATCGACTGCGATACCATGGGGTAAATAGAAGCTGTAGCGTTTATTAGGTTAAAAAGAATTAAATTAAAGATTAATTATACAGAGACAAATATCAATGTGAAGTCAGGTTTCATGAATATTTTACAGTAAAGATTAATTAATAAGCCAACATGATAACGGTTATTAATTATAATTATTAATGTTGACTAACAGGTTCTTTCCAAATTTTCGAACTACGTCTCCAGTATCTGGATCTAATTCCATAATTGTATCCGTAGCAATAGGCGGTCCACGAAACTGGAATCTGAAATTGCTATCGAATGTACTGTAAATATATCAAAAAGAGCAATTTTAATATCTTATGTGATACATATATATGACGTATATCTTTATATTCTAATATCCATTTATATTTTCTAATAGACACCATCTCCTTATACTGCATTTTTTAATGCAATCCAATACTGTATGAGAAGTTTTATTTTATATAATTTTTAGGGTATTTTGACCTAATGTTGACAATTTTAGTATGTACTAAGTATTCACAATAATATCTTAATTCTGTTCCTAACGCTGATAAGAAGTAAAGGAATTTAAATCAACTGTAGCATACGAAGTCAATCATTGCCTTACTTTCTTTCCCAATGGCGATCGCCACGATGGAAAATGAAGACATTTCCTGTTTTCGAGACCGCCACACCTCCAATATCACCAGTTAGGAAGAATTGAGCTGGCCAGTTAGGCACTAATTTTAGAGTAGATAAAGCAGAATTCGACGTGTCCTCGCGTACAATACTTTCAGCATTTCCCAAAGGAGTGTCTACTTGATTCCTTTCCATATCTAATTCTTCCAAATCGTTGTCGTCGTCTGATTGCTGATGAGCCGTATCTGAAGGATTTTGATATGATTGTTGTTCCTTGTGACTTACTATACCATTTGTGTCTTGGGTCACAGTTTTTTTTGGTGCTAGAAGTGACAAATGTGTACTAGCTTGTTTTTCACATTGGTGATAAGGAATTGCTTCACGATGATTAGTGTAATACATTATATAATAATTGCACATTTCGTCGCTATGGCGGCTTCTAATATGGTGCATACAAAGTAAGAATTATTAGTTTATACGAATGTTGTAATACTTTTAAATGCATAATTATGCATTAGACAGATCAAACTCTATTACCCCAAGTAGGTAGGTCTATCTCTGTTTGATTTGAATACGCAGCGAACAAACTATGGTATCAGATATAGCAGTTAGGGTAAAATTATTATAGTAAGCATTGGGATAAATAAAGTAAATTGATATTTTGTCACATGAAGTCATACCAATAGGTCATCCTTTTTGATTGTAATTTCTTTTTGGATTGGGAAAAATGCATTTGGTTTGCGTGGATCTGATTCACCAATCAGTATCCATTTTCCATCTCTTACTATATAGCCACTAATCAGGACGCCTAACATAAGAATATCATATTTGCACTCAAGTAATCTCAAAACTGATGAATCAAAACAAATAATAGTATAGCCGCAGAACTACCTATTTGGTGTGCATGAACACGAAAAGCAAACGGGTGGAGTTCATATGGTTGATTATAGCGACAAGCTAAATCATCCTTCGCTTGATTTATAGAAAGTAATATGAATTGTTACATTAGAATACATAGAATTTTAATTGAACTAAAAGAAATTATTAGTTTATTACGGTACCAGTAGAATGTGGACGTATAACGAAGTAATTCGATGCAAAATCATACATCCCAGCTGAATATCTTTGACTGAAAATGAATATAATGTATGCATAAAGTCAAAATTTTTTTAATTTAATTTAAATGGACGCCTTCTCACAGATGTAGCAGAGTTAGTCTAGTATTACCTTTTCGTAGAAAGTTGAAGTGTAACTCCGGAACTATCGATGAAATTGGCTAAAATAATAATAGTACAGTATTTATTGCATCATATTCTATCGTTTATGTACAGTAGTATCGTTTGCATAATTAATATAATTATTGAGACAATGGTACTTATGCCATATGACAGAAAGAGTTACAAGGAAATCTACCAATAACTAATGAGAATTACTACATTAAAAGTAAATAATTCTTATGATGTATTCAATGCTGATTTATACTCACGTAATCCTAGTTTGCTCTTGATGTTAGGTCCGTAGTGGACTTGTAGGACTAGATACTTTATGTCTGTTCCGCGTCCAATTTTGAATCCGACATCTACAACAATATAAATGAACTACTTAATAGAAAGCGAACATAATGTTCTCCTTGAGATACTTCTTATATATATAAAATTTTAATAATAAAGTCATAAAATATTATTTTCATAATGTCCATTAAAAGGAAATATCATGATAGAGAAAAATTAATGGTGCTATAGTCCAACTATAATATTGTAATCTACTTTAATAATTTAAATATCAAATTAGATGATTGTAGAAATACTGGTAAGTAGATAATAATGCGTACTTAAATAAGGTATTGAAGTAAATAAAATAATGTAATGAACACTTATCTAACAGTGCGTAGTTCAACGAAGTATAGCAGATAATTATGGTGATATTATCATTATAAAGTTCCGGTTTAAAGATAACTAGCTTTAGTTTATACTAATATAAACTGCAGTTACAATGTGAGTGTAGATAATACAAAAATATACCGAATAATTAACGTAATACTAAATTTGCTGACGGTATTCAAAAGTTTGGAAATAAAAATTGTAATATAAATAAAATACACGAATTAGAATACAGTATATGCCTACTGTAACAAAATCCCTACTCTAAATAGTAGTCGTAGATTGCTAATAATATTTACCTTTAGGTAGTTTCAAGGCAGGTGCACTTTTAGCCCAAGCATAGACAATAATTGATCTACCTGTACAATGTGTGTTCATCATACATTTTCTAAGTAAGATCAGAAGAGGAAAAAGATATATACGATTAATGTATTTCCCTTCGATACCGCTTATTGCTTTTCTTGTTGCTAATCAAAAAACCCTTCAATATCCAAGCTGCTATTAATGGGTGACATTAGCGATTATAATAAAGTCAATAAATAGTAAAGTAGAATGGATAGCATAACGTAGCACTGGTACAACGATGGATGTAACAAATGCTTCGAAATCGTTGGAATAGAAATACTGTATATAAAATAGACTGAAAGGATATTTAAGTTTAGTTCACGAAGTGAATGAATGAATCGAAAGGCAATTGATATTCCTACACATATATCTAGATATATTGAGATTTTTCCTTAGTCACTAGATGCAAGTGAACATCAACGTTAACTACATTTAATAGTAGTACGATTTACGCAATGGAATTAAAATTTTACTATCGAAAATTTCATAAATGTATTAATTATTTTAAAATTAAACAGATCAGCATGAATACGATATGCTAGGATAACATAAAACAGAAAGGAAAAGGTTAAATGTAAATATATAGTTCCGTGAATTCTTTCTTGTATCGTACTTTTTCTATTCAATAAATTTCGATCTACATACAGTACAGTACATGTAATACTCGTAGGTTAGCGCTGCTTTGCATCCTATTTATCAATAATCCTTACGTGTAAGTAAGCTTAGTATCCATTCCTGAACAGCCCATTATGAGCACATGATGGGCATTTTTTCTTGCGTCTTCATTAGGATTAAAACCCACTATGAAATGGAAGTAGAAGGCAATGATTAAAGTAAGAAATTGAGGATTCATTTTAGCGAGAAAATTGCTGAATCCTTCCAGTTTGGATATAGCACCTAACATGACAGATCTGGATTTCATCGCTAGCCTACCACTGCTGATCGAGAATTACTAGTTCTGTTTAGCAACATTTCTCTTTTCCTAGTGAGAAAACTGGTAACTACAGTGCATGATACACTTATATCATATACTTTCCGAGCTAAATGTAAAAGATATCGAAACTAATACCATACTCGCTGTACTGTACAGTAGACTAATGGTAATGGCATTAATTCAATTGACCTAGGGTGTAAAACCAAGGGGCTAATGATATAGCTAATGTTATCGAAAATGTGTGACCAGTATATATTTCATGTTAGAACTGTATAGTGCTCTAGTTTTGAATCCTTCGTGTAAGAATACATTCGATAAAGCAGCCAATAAAGCTCGGATAAAATATTTAGGGCCATCACTGTTACTAATTCTATAGAATTGACTCTCAGACTGTGGAATCGGTCGTATCAAATGGTTTATTAGCTAGCAATCTGAGGCGTATATAATTAATTAATTCAACCAACAGCACAGTACCTATATAGCCGGTATAGTCAGAGACCCTTTTTGAGGTACATACATAGGAATCGACCTTGAGAAAGAAGAAGATGCTAATATGAAATAGACTGATAAAATGCATATCAATATCACTTGATACGATTAATTTAGTATCACATTAGTTATTGACTTTATTTATTGTAAGATAATAGACTGGTCGAGCATGATCTAGTTGATAAAGTGAACTATATTATTATTTACCATGAATGATTCATAATTTTTTTTTCTTTAAAAATAATAAAATCAAGATGAAAGAGAATTACGGTCTTCAATTGTATACTAACATACCGCTTCTGGTCGATGTTTTGGCAATTCTATAAGCAAGGAGGATAAGGTAGAATTTGGGCTGTTGTGATGTACCAGTATTTGATTGCTCATTGATGACTGGGTGATCATTGCCCAAATTATATAGACATTTATTAAATGGAACAGTTTCATTTTTCTGCCACTCTATGAACTTTAAATCGATGAGAAAGAAATTATTTAATTTCTATCCCAAGATAGAAATAGTATACGTTCCTTTGGATTGTGACAGCTACTACACCAGTCTTTGTACCATAGGCTTGACTACATTGAAAATGTTCAGAAACTAGCCTCAAAATAGAATGCAATCTTGCTCAACGGTCTTCTTCTGGATCCACTTTTTTCAATGCTGGACACACTAGTTTTATACACGTTGTAGAGTAGAGGTAGAATTGGAATTGAGTGTAGTCAATAAAGTGGTAAAAGAATTCAAAATGAAAATCTAATGGCAGAAAATTTCAATGGCGTAGACCGTCAATATTGCTCACTGAAATTATTTTTTTCACTGTCCAGTACAGTAACACTGTAGCCTAGTTATAAATAGAAAGAACGAGAAGACGCAGTACGTGTGTCGTCCACTTGGATGACTTCCACTCTTTATTATCTTTATACAATTGACTGTGTTGTCCAATCATTTTTGTTGCGCTTTGTCCAGTACAATCAGTGACTGACGATGAAGCTGCGCAGATGTAGCACCTACGACGGGTCACATTTGGGTACAAGTAGGTTCCACTAAGTGAGTGACAAAGTTATGTCACATGTCACGCATCAGTCACGCATTGTTTGTTCAAGTTTCCAGGGGACATAAGGGACATTCCTGGGGAGGAGTCCCTGACGCATACTGTAAATACATTTTCTATTGGACTGGCTGGTACAGTATAACTGCACAGTGCACGATACATTTCATCATGAGCATTTTGTCAGATGGAATCGTAATATTAGCCAAAAAAAAATAAAATCCAGAAAATGTAGGGAAAATCAAAGATGTCTCAACGTCGACATGTACATTCCCGACGAGTACCTACGCAGTGTTCACATGCCAGCAAACATTCGTATTCATGTACTGTATGTTATAGATATATACTGTATGATACGATCAAATGATAACCGGAACAGATAGTCAATTTCAATTGAACACATTTGGCAATCCTGAATACACTGTAGTAGAGAGACTCGATACGCACTTATATTAAATTGCGCTACATACTAGATTATCAATGTTTATATTTATTAATGAAGAAATCGGATTGAAGTGTTTTTTTCATGACGAATAATACAGTCGCCACTAACTTATCCTACGATCCTACTCGATGCTTCCAACTCTGAGCAAGAAGAAATGATATGTATGGTAGTAAGAGTGCAACGGATCCACTACCGCAATGCGTAGTATGCAGTACATACTGTACAGTAGTACACTATTGTTTTCGAATACGCTACAGCATCTAGCTGTCATAGCTGTTCGAGACTTTGTGCGCAAGGTCATCGGGAAGTACGTTTCTATGGAAACGATCATATTATTTTGGCGTTGAAGGTAAAATCGATGGGAGAACCGACATGGACTAGTAGTGAAAGTTATATACTAGCAGGGTATTCCTAATTGAAATCGAGTCACTACACTCACAAGAGAAGTTGCCTCTCATCGAATACATACCTATTCTAGTCCACTCTACTACTTTATTATTGACGAGTCAAGAGCTCTTCGATCATACACATAACAATTAATTCATAATTTCCATTTCGAGAACATCATTGCCTAGTGCACTATATTTCACGTATTATTCTATTCGAGTTACTTGATTGGAAATCTAAACGACATATTTGCCTTACTCTGCTACGATTTACAACCCATCCTAAGACATCGTCGCAAAAATCATCTAGCTGATCTTTCATAATTACGCGTATATTATACTATAGAATTCTACAATTATAACATATCGGGTGTTGCCTACAACTTACTACTTGGTACAACTCCAAGAGACTGTCACTTTTAATTGAATTCTAGTCATACAATAAAGTCTATAGCAAACTCTTGCTATTTAGAAAGTATTGACGACTTTACTAAAGACTATCCATTTACATACAACCATAAAGCATCAATATGGCAGAAGAGACGAGTACGCAGAATGGTAAAGCGAAAATGGGGAAAACCTTAATCAAAAACTGGGTAGAAGAGGTAAGAAAAAAGATAAATGATTATCTTTAATATTGATATATATCGAATTTTGATAGTTTTAATCCATTAAACTTAAACTACTCACGCCTGGGAATTGAAAGTATAGTTTACCATAACAGAATATCGTAGACAATTAAGTCTTGCATTAAATTTTTACATCTGATCAGCTTGCTACAAGTATAGTATACGTATTACTTTTAATATATATAAGTCACAGTAATTACTGTACTGTGTTAGATTCCTATGTCTGTATGTTCGTTGATATATCATTTATACGTGTAATCATTTTGGGCATTTCATGATGAAATTGTTTATCCACTTCTTAAAAAGAGGGCAGTGTCCGATTATGATAGCAATAACGATATGAAGAAGGTTTTACGAAGCGGACATCAGGTACGCGATGATGGCTTGGTTAATTCAAAGCAATATAATTATGTTAACAGTTTTTAAGAATTAATTTTAAAAATGATGACATATGATTATTTTAGTAAACGATTGCAATAACTAACTTCTACTGGGTAAAAAACGATATCTTGACACTGTTTTAATTGTGAAATTTAATTTTCGGTCTTGACAGGGATTAATTACTACTACTCACGATCAACCTATTGCATGTAAAACTACTATTAAGGACTCTTATGCTGAACCTAAGATAACTAAAACCAGACAAGTCGGTAAGTGATTCCTGTATGAAATATATTCCAATTTTTGAAGCAATTATCTAATAGATCCATATGGAAAGTTTATTTTATATCATTTTTCGCTTATATCACCTTATAGGTCGCAAATTAGAGGCCGAACAGAGAGAGCTTTATGAAAAATTTAGGTAATCGAAATTAGTCCTTTATATTATTGGCAATTTAGTTGATCTTGAAGGATATTAGATTTAGATTCGATATCATATACTTAGATAGCATTAATTGTCGATAATACTTTGGCTTGCAACTAAGATACTATGATAATCTTATTTCCAGTAAAGAAGTTTATGAAGATTTCAATAGACCTCCATCACCCCCTGATTATACAACATCATTCAAAGCCCACTATCATAAAGGTTTTAATTTATTTTCTTAAATTGTAATACTTACTATATTCCTACCGTGATTTTACTTTAGACATAGTACAAACAGTGTAGTTATTGTTTAATATCTGTAATTTAATGCGTCCGTTTCTTTCAAATGAAAAATTTCTACTCGCAGACTTTGTGCCAGTTCAGCGAAAAGAAACCCAGGTAAACAATCAATTAGTACAGAATACATTATAACCAAATATGTTTTTGGCTAACGTTATAAAATCAATGTCTTTTAGCCTCATGCTGTGTATGGAGAAGAGCCGGTTTCATTCTGGACTACTAATCGAGGAATTATTCATGTATGTTTATTCGTCAACAAATGTTGTAGAGTAGGCTAAGTCAAAGCGAATAAAGCAATGATTAATGATTCAAATTCTATATAGGGTGAATCGCAATCCACTGGCACAAATGCAACATTTCGTAAAAACGCAGCTTTCAGTACCCCAGTTACGGAATATATGAATCAACAGTTACCACATAAAATTCAAAACTGGTAATATGGTACACAAACAGAGCTTATCTGGTTACGCAACCCCCAATTTTTTTGTGCTTAATTTATAGTAATCAAATGTAAATGTACTGTAACGTTGATACTTGTATGTTAAAGATTTAAATACAATATAACTTTATCAGTAAAATGGCTTGGAAAGTTTCCCGGTATGTGCGCTACTAAAGCACCATTGTAAATAGTGTAGTAGTTATACCTTTATTATAGCGATAATTATTACATTTGCTATTTTCTCGAACTTAATTAAATTGTTAATAATAAAAGTGGTAATAATTTAAAAACAATGCGATATGCTATAAAATTTTTTTAACATATTATGATGAAATGCATTCATTTACACAAGTATACTAACATCGTAAGCATCCCTAAATTAGCATAAAAGTATGCCAATATTTCAATGACACCATAGTTTTCAACTGGTCTTCTTATTCAGTTGATCGATCTATTAAGAAAAATTGAAGAGTCATTTAGAACGATCTCAAAAATTAAAGTATATTCTAATTATAAAGAATAGCCGGATCAATAATCAATACAGAGATAAATTATATACAATCGACTGTTCGTTTTAACTAAAGATCTTTTACAACGGAATATTACAATATTATATCAAGTGCGGACCTCATTATCGATGGCACGAAATTGCCAAGTCCAATTAATGTTGTAAAGAAACTGTCTAAGATCGAATCGATTATCGTCCGGGCTATAATTTTCAAGGTGACAGGCAGGAGTTAGAGTTGTCATTTTATGTCTATTGATTGAGTACCTGCGGAAGAAGTGCTTTACATTGTCTGCAATCTAAAGAGATAAATATATTCGTAGATATGTTAATAACATGATAACAATTGTAGTAAACCTAGAATTGCTTATAATACCTTAGTTATAGTATATTTATTTTTCCATGAGCTGACTAATTTGCAAAACATGCTGTATGGCCCGCAAAAATTAACTTTTCGAAGCCTTCCATAAAACGATAACTCTTCATAGGTCATTCCCATATCTTCCTACAAGTTTAATTTGAATAATTACTGGGATGAAAACTAAAGGCACGTTACGGGTATATGAGCTTAGTATCATAATACTATAGAGAGGTTCACGCTACATACTTCATCAGTTTGGCTAATTTCGCCTTCACTTAATGGTTCTAATTCGGCTGTAGGTGGGGCTTCATAAATACTATCCAAAGCAGGTATATCGTACTTACTTCGAAAGAATTTTATGAAAGATCTCAAATCGGTTTTACTAATTCCTCCGATAGGGTTAATGTCGGCGCTAGAACAGTCGTATTTCGTCATATAGCCGCATAAAGCTTCATCGACGTTTGCCGATCCTAACACCAGTAAACTGCCAGGCAATCCTCGAGACCATAAAATAAGTTGTGCAAATAGGTATGACAGAACCATTCGAATACGAGCTTGTATATTTTGCAAAGCAAGATTTTCACAGAATGATCCACCATTTGCACGAAATTTTGGAGTTTTTCCTGTTACACTAGTAAAAATAGAAATGATTGCAGTAATTGCAGTATCGATAACAATACTAAGATGATAGCTGCCTAGTTGACCGGCAAGATTTTTTGCCCTTTCTCTAGTGTGTGTTGATGAGTTTACTGTTCCCAAATAACATGTAGTAAATATTCGATTGGTAAATTCTTTGGGTTCAGTTGGGATATACGAATCATCACCTACGATTCGTCGAGCATCTGTAATAACTTGTTGATTGCCATTAATACAAGCATTACATACTAAATGAGACATTGAAGATACGATACAGGCTGTTGCGGAACTATCTATTCCTCCACTAAGAGGTAAAAAAAATCCATGCTGTCCACTTCGTCGTAAATAATCCCACATCCAGCATGCAGGGCCATAACAAATTTCTTCCTCAGGTGTTGCATAATCGACAGTTGCAGGGTTTGTTAACATGACATCGATTGTATCGTGTGTTAGCTTAAAATCAACTCTGATTCTAGGGTAACTAGTAGCGGCTGACGAGTGTAATCTTACACTAGTCATAGCATTGCGATAAGTCCGAACATCTTCCAGATCTAAAGTTGCAGTTATGACCTCCTATCAAAAAAGGTATCATAATATAGTTTAGTTGTTCAGTATATTCCCAAAGTAAATAATAACGTTGTGTTGTACCACTTCTTCTAATGAAAATTTGGACCCGTAATTCATGATATCACCATTTCGCGCTATGATACAGTTTCCATCGTAGTACATACGATCACCATCACAGCCACGTTGGTTTGCAAATAAGTAAATACCACCGGTCTACACGTATAGAAAGTAAATTTTCACTTTATCAGTTCAATGGCATCAAATAGAATATAAAAGAATTTATACTAAATTGAATAGTGGCCGTATATCCATCATCCAAAACAGTATTTACAAGTATAAGAGCGTAGATGAAAAGAGCTAGAGAGATTTTATCGATATATTAACATGATGAATTAATTATCGGTAGAAAATATAAAGTAAAGGACATCTAATAAATGTTGTCACATCTAATGCTAGTCTATGAAATAAAGAAAGCCACAACCAAGTTGTTTAGCCAGTACTTTTACGAGGTGCATAATCCAAATAATATTTGCTTGATAAGACTGATTTAATTTCGAATATTTATTACTTTTATATAAAAATTGAATAATTTATTTAATTCCTAGGTTAAGACATGGTAAAAACATATCATAAGCTATTATTAACCTTTGCTGTTGCGGCACGCATTAGATCAAATCTACGCTTTGCTTTCCTTAATGCATGATGACTACCACTACCGTTAGTAATAATCTCCACACCATCAAGAGCCATTTTTACGTGGGTGCTGTTATTAGTTATAAAGATAGAATTATTTTATTGACGTTATAGTCAAGACTACGATCCGGTATTAATAAAAATTACAAGGAAATGCACGCTTTACCTATCAGCTGTAAAGAATTCTTCACATATTTCACTTCCAAGACAAGTATCAGATGTCTGGATGACAGCGTCTCCAATTGGAACGGTAGTCTACATAGAGACAGAATGATATTTCTTAACTACAGTAAAGCTCTCCGATATCACGAGCTATTACTAAAACAAGTTGCTATTATAATACAAATTTTAGTTGCATTGCTCTATTTTGGAAAAAGTATGCCAACAATCATCTATCCTTAGTCAGACTATTGATAAGAATTGTAATTACAACTTGTATGGATTAAAGATATTGATTCTCCTTATGGCAATCAATCTTGAACGTATTACCTGTCCAGTAATATTGGAGATAAAGGGTGGCAAATTATAGTCATCTACCATTCTACAACACAGAATACACAAATTTTGATTTGAGAAAAAATTATCCACTTTAGACATTAGTAGCTATAGAGTAATTTAAGTTAAGATAGCAGAATGAATACAAAATCATCATTTGGCTGCAAAATTATCAACATAAAGATAGGATTGAGTCTGCGTAGAGACATCATACATCTATTTGTCACAGTATAATTTGTAAAAGCTAAATGGGCTAACTTTTCCTTAATCCAAGAAGCAAACCATCTTCCTTCACGATATACACCATCATCTGCCATAGCTTTCTTAGGCCGTATTAAGAGTATTTTACTAGATAGTGTTACAAAAATGGTCAGCCTTAGGGGAATGTAATGTACTGTTAACAATTAAAGATAATACTTTTATTTCAATTTAAATTCGTATGAATCTAGGGCTAATGTAGTCTATTTTCTTGGTGGTTACGATCAGTTCAACTTCAATTAAGAAACAATAAGTAGGATAAAAGTACGCAAGTATTAAATTAGTACCCGTTAAGAAAAAATATTCGGCAGTTGTATGCAGTGTTCTTGTGCATGACCGGCCTAAAAATGTAAGATTGATTCATTTTATATAAGCGTGAAGATTAATTATGTTTGCCATTGTGCTATCATAATATGATACTAGGAAGGGGTATAAATTTATCTATTCTATAATAGTGCTACTTTTCCTTCATTTACACGATTCAGTAAGTGATCTCTTGGATTGAAGGCATTCTTGGGGTAGAATAACTAATAACACACTTACATGCCAACATCGCATAGCATATCTTTCGTTTCTGGACATTTCAATAGCTCTGCTAGGACTTGCCAAGAATGGGTAAATGTATCACTTTCGTAAAAATGATCTCCACAACCATATCCACTATAGTTTGACAAAGATTTATTTTTTTGGCAATTAATAAACAGGTACGTCATTGATACAAGTACAGAATAACACAAAGATTGTGATAATCATACAATGAATGTGATTTAGTAGATATTTCATCATTACCAAATTTCTAATTCGGGTCCAAGACGATATTTAGCACCGGCTTCTTTCGCTATCTTGATACCTAAGATCGGAGAATTGGATAAGAAGAATGGTTCGTTTCATGGTCATATTACAATATAGTTTATATATCATAAAGACTATGATTCATTATCGCTCAAAATATTGCAGCTACTACGATGCACAATTAAGTTAGCAATTCTATTGTGGAATAAGAATAATGTATGTGATAAGAAACTCAATCAACTTCTATTGATTGAGCATTAGAACGATTATTTACGGTACTCCGAAGTATAGGACAAGTCTCTATTGCCTGCTTTGGCGAATTCTATTCAAATTTCCTTCAAAATCCATTGCCCATTGATCCAAATTGCAGGTAGCAAGTGTAATTAAACGGTCCATGTTTGGTTATGCCAATAACAAGAAGTAGCAAAAGTAAAAATTTAGTTCTACCTGGTAGTACAGCCTGTACTTTGTAAGAGTTCTCAATGAGCTCTAGTTCAATACTGTCTTATATACAATATAACGATAGAGATTGTACTTGTACTGTAATAATGAGTGCAAAGTTAGAGCATTTAGCTTTTCCTCTAGCACTAGGCGAAGCTTGGTAACCTGTAGCAAGGAGTCCAAATGCAGAGCTCAATCGTCAAGACAACAACACATTGTACCGTACTGTACTGTGTACAGTACTATAATCGGTCACACAGTGCACTGTACTGTACACTCAGCAGTCAGATGGCTATACTGTACAGTACAGTGCAGTATTTCTAAAAGCTGTACAGTACATCAAAATACTGTAGGTCAGCGGTCCCTTTAGGCCCAGCCATATCAATATGGATATCTTCAAACTCTCAGCGTAAGTTGCTTTAAGAAACGATGATGCATCACTCTTACAATTTAGAACTCAAATTTGATGCCATTTTTAAGTATTTAAGATATCGATGTTGATATGGCTTGGCCTACTGAGGACAGCCTACCAGAGTACTGCTATGATTGAGTTGACCAACTTCAATCGCACTATTTTTCGTGGAATTTTTACAGGTCCGCTAGTTACTGTGATAACAGTTCTGGCTCTGCACTTACCTTACGTGGTAATCTCGAGGGGAATGCCAACCCATCAAAGCAGCAGAATAAGAGCCCCCCCCCCCCCCCCAAGACAGCATTTTACTATTTATTATTGCTATCAAATTGTACAGATTCAATACTAAGCATCCTATCCGATCACAGACCACCAACAATTTGTTAAAAGAAAGAGGCATTGGCTTACTATCAATACAGCAAACCATTGGCAATTCAGCAAGTGCCCCCCCCCCCCTCTCCGAAAGATGAAGTACTGGAATACCTGCTAGCGTATTAAACCGGTCGATCTGATCGTCTTCCCTGTGATTTTTGATAATCTGCCATTGACAATCTACTTTCGAAGAAGTCTAGATTTCCCTCCCAGTGAATTGAGTGAGAAATCATGAGTGGACTGGATAATATAACATACTAGTAGAATAATGTTTTTATCCTTCAGGGTAAAACACCTTGCTATTGCCTATTGTTTCTAACTGGCATATTACTGCTTGATAAACAATCGTGCCATCCGGTTATCATTGAGTTCCAAGAATCAATGCATAGCTTTTATTCTCATTGCAGACTAGGAATACACAATCCAATCTGTTGCAATTTGTCTAATTTTTACCTCTATGTCAAGTCAAGTTAATGCTAATCTTGCGTTTGTTTACAGTAAGAGAAAAGGATGCATATGTCTTGTTATTGTATCAGCATACGCAAACAGGGAGAAAAGGGATCAGTTTTACATGTAGGATGGCGTCAATTTATTACTATAATTTTCGAGATGGTCGATTCTACTATAATTAAAAGACTGCAATCCCTTTAATTCCACCTGAAAATAAAATACAACTGTTATAAAATTATACGTAGGCATTATTGATCGATTATTATCAACACCAGGAGAGTCGATCGCTACGTAAAATAAATAAACGAATGCAGGCACAAGCAATCAGGGCAGTTACGCTTGGACGAGGGTATTCCTATTTTTTCTGATAAACCAGTAACAAAGTCTAAAATGAGATGAGATGTTCATGTCCTGTAGTGGATCAATCGTTAAGGGATAGACAGTTGAGGTTAATATACAGTAGATGAAACTGGATAGTCCACAGATCCGGGATAGCGACGCTGCGCATTGGGCAGCATACCATTCGTATTTGGATAGGATTGAAAAATAATAACCTCCAAGCTCCTTAACAATTGGTTGTTGCATGGATATTGACTATCCACTCCAATCTTATTAGTTATCCTTTGTTCATGAATAGTGCTTCAATAACAAGTTGTCCAAGTCTTTTACTATCATAGCAGTATATTTAGAAAGAATAATGTTATTAGTATATCATTAATGGATGATTCATGAATAACAATAAGTGCTAGAATTTACATAAGAAGGGTAGCCACTGGCTGTTGACAATGAAAATGATTCCTAGAGAATAAAAGTAACTAGTTCTTCACAACCCTTAGCCTGAACGAGTTGACGACTACCATGTCGAAAAGAATAGACCGATTTGAGTAATGGTAGGCCACTATTTTTATTTGCCCGGGATTATTTTCTTCGCTTATTGGAATGCTTTACAAAGTGGTTTTGCTTATGATGACAAGTAAGTATTATAAACCTGTACTCCAAACCTATTAGTAGAATAAGAAGATTTATATATTACGTTCTATCAATCAACGATGTACACGTATAGATAGAGAAAAATCTGCCATCAAGACAAAATAACGTGTAAATTGAGTTAGTGCCTTTTCATACAAAATTATAATACCTTAAGCAATGTATTGTTACTGTTGCCATGAATTAACCTTTTCATTTTAATCTCCATTTTATCCGAGTGTAACAACGCAATCCAATCAGACCAATAACACTCAATCCTTGATGATATAGTAATCAAGATCAAATCGTTGACTGATTCTATCATCACGATAACAAGCAAGAGAGGAATAAATCAATTTGAGTGATCTGGTTGGCGTTAGAGATTATAAAATCCAATCGTAAATGAACAATTTAATAAATCATTATTACTGCATTAGTAGAGGCAATCCATAATAGACAGTAATATAATCCTTTCCTTTTGTTTTTGTTTCTCTTTGTTTCTTGCATGTCAAGTTTGATGTTGTCCAACAGATCATCGCCATTTATAATGGATTAAACCGATTGATTTGTAATCCAATGCCTTCATCATCTATATTAAATTTTGATAGCCATGAGAATAAACTGTTATAATCATTATAGATCCAAATGGATCGATCTTGAGTAGTCATGCATCGGTAACTTTGCAGCGGTGTAGAGGTTATGATGGAAATTACGTTTTGATTTTGGCTGATATAGTCTCTCCGAATTAGAGTACAACCTCCATTTAATTCAATGCATTCGCCATTTGTATTAATTCTAACTACTGTACAGTGGAATCACTAATAGCCATGTATAAGTGTTTGCCACTGCGATCGGAAAGTAATAAAGTAGTTCTAGTCTTGCTCGATATTTCCCCTTTAAAACTATATAAAATCTTCATAGATGGCATAATGGATACTGTTACTTTATCGTCACTGTACCGTTGCTCTAAGTAATAATATTTTCTTCCTTATTGCCTTTAAAGTTTCAATGTGAACTTTTAAGAGATTCTACCCGTCCATATTTGGATCGCTCATTTTGTGCCATAAGATGGGGAAATCTCATTCTCTATTCTTTTAAAATAACAACCTTAAACCGTTAAGATATCAACATTAGTTGACCAATATTCAATGTCTTTGAAGGTCGTATACTAATATGTCCGCTAACTTTTAGTCAGTATTTCTTATGCATGTTTCTGTACTACTAAGCATCAAGTTACAATTTCTATGTCGCAAAATCTACACTAAATTATAGTTTAATTAACAATCAACTATCAAAAAGTTCCTTTCGGTATACCATTGCATATGTCCTACCGAAAGTAATAGCTATAGATGGTTCCAGAAAACAAGCTGATTGTCTATCAATTATTTCGTAGATGTTTAATTTGATTTCTAAAAGTATTTTAAGAGCTTAAGAATTGGCAGAGATTCTCGTATATCGAATATGTCGTCATTTTCGTACTTCTTTAAAATAAAATAACTGATCATATCTAAAATCAGAAGTATAGCACCGGCACTACTTACTGATGCCGATCAATTACCTAGGTTGTTATTTCCCTCCGTAAGTAAAAAATGTACAAGTCCGTCTTGGAAAAACGGATAATTTCAGACTGCGTTTTAAGAGAATTTCGATTGTATTTATAGTCTGCATAATTGTAGAGTATAATATAAATTGTTATAGGTACCATTTTTCCTTACTAAATAAAGTTCATTTAGCGTATAGGAATAAGCAATATAACTCTGGACTGAGTTCCTAAGTTGAGGGGCTCATTTCTAGCTGTAAGAAATATTATTTTAATATACATATATGAGTATCTATTATAAGTATTGGCCAGTTGTCAACTTATTTTGGACATGAATGACGGTAGTTGGTCCATCAATTGGTCATACCCATTTTTACAAATACTTTCTATCAAACGTCTATTTAAAATAGTCTCTCTCCTTTATTCGTTTGCAATACAGTTCAATCCACTTAATAAATGAATAAAATATTAATTGAAATACTATTTTTTATTCTAATGTATCAATTAAGTTAAATATCATTAATCATTTTGACCTCATTATTTAGTCGAGCCATTCTGGAAAATGCCGACGTGACTTGTAAGACACCTTGGTCTCATGTATTCTTTAACGACTACTGGGGAACGTCAATCACTCATAGTGGTAGCCATAAATCCTATCGGCCATTATGTGTGGCTACTTTCCGTCTTAACTTTATGCTACATCAAGTTCGGCCATTTGGCTTTCATTTAGTTAATGTCTTGCTTCATGTTATATCAACACTTCTTTTCTATCAGCTTACTAAAAGGTTACTGTCAGGATATGATTATCATGGCAAGGAAACAATAATTGGTTCCAATACAAATAATAATAACAGCAATGGTAAGCATATCGTCGTTACTGACAGGAAGGAAATAGAGAATGGTTATAAACAAGCATTATCCATGTCAAGTTATGCAGCTACAATTGCTGCTATTCTCTTTGCCACTCATCCTATTCATACTGAAGCTGTTACAGGCCTTGTAGGTCGAGCTGATGTTGGCTGTTGCTTCTTCTACTTACTGTCCTTATTGTCTTACATGGATTATTGCCAGTTAGTTTCTAAGCAAATGATTTCTCACTCTCCCTTTTCTTCACATCCATACCGCTATATAAAGAATAATCTAAAAAATCGGGTTGATAATGATAGACACAGCAATAATGCAGATTATAGCGGTCAAGGATCATCCTTAAAATTAGTATTATGCTTGCTTTGTGCCATTAGCGCAATGCTTATGAAAGAGCAAGGCATTACTGTGCTTGGTATTTGCATTATTTATGATATATTCATCCTTCATCGTCAAACTATCTTAATATTATTATATGATGGTCGTCATGGAAGGAAGAAACGCCTTGGTCAAATCTATCTTGTCTTTACTCGAAGTATGATTTTAGTCATAACTGGTTTCGTCATGATGGCTATAAGATGGTATATTATGGGTTCCATCACTCCATCTTTTTCATCATCTGATAATCCAGCTTCACATTGTGATCATCTTTTAACTCGAATATTAACATTTAATTATCTACCGGCTTTTAACGTTTACCTCTTACTTTATCCAAATCATTTAAATTTCGATTGGTCAATGAATGCAATTCCTTTAATCCAGTCTATTCATGATTTTAGAAATTTTGCTACTCTCCTGTTTTATACTGCACTTGCCCTTTTACTGCTTATCATCATGAAATTAGTTCATTCCAAGTTTTTGCAGCAATGTCTTGATGCTAAATCCAGCGATAACTTTGCTTCAAGCCATCTTCAATGCAACGGTCATTCTTATGAGAGGTGAGAAATAAGGCAGACTACTGCATTTACTAATCAATACTATCTTTATGATTAATATCAATTTCTTTCTCTATATTCTCGTTCTATTTCTTCCATACGGTAAAAACTTTCAATTTTAGCCGAAAATTAAAAAGCAATGGGAAAGGAATTAAACAGCGGAGTAATCATGGCAATGGCCAAGTTAATAATATGATAACGACAAATGATCACCATGAAAATCATCAGTTGTACTCAAATCAGTCCGTTGCTAGTGCTGGTATAGATCGATCAACGGATTGGATTGTTGATATTCTCATTATGGCTTTAGCATTGTTAGCTATCCCATTTCTACCAGCTTGTAACTTATTTTTCTATGTCGGCTTTGTTGTTGCCGAAAGGGTATTATATATTCCCAGCCTTGGATTTTGCCTCTTGATAACATTAGCTGTCGTGTTGATGTATCAAAAATTAAAAAATTACAATTTACATCAGTGGGTTAACATGTTTGTTGTCATTCTTGCTCTGTTATATACTGGAAGGACCATATCACGCAATGACGACTGGTTTAATGAAGAAAGCCTTTACAAGTAAGATGGATAGATTGCTTCGGCAGTCAAATTTAATTTTAACTTCTCTGGAATCTTCAAAACTTATGGCTTTAGTGGCATTTTCATGATTAATAGTTGAAGTTATACTTTTATGTTAGGTCTGGAATACAGTATAATCCGCCTAAAGGTAAATTATCCAAATATATAATTATGAACGATTGTTACCACTAGGAATCAATACATGTTAACGTCAGATCCTTTCTCATAATACTTTTTTACCATAGCTTTAGCCAATTTAGGTAATGTCTTAAGTGCTAAAGGAGATATTGATGAAGCGGAGAAAGCTTATAAAGAAGCTTTGTTTCATCGTCCTAATATGGCCGATACTCACTATAACCTGTAAGTAACTAGACTGTAGATACAGTTTTGTAAATTAAACATCTATATGCGATCTTATCTTAATCTTGTAAAATACTGTCAGAAAAGATGGTGTTACTAATTCTTGTAGACCATAAAGTAATGTCAGATTGGTTTATCAAACTGATTTATTTCCAAATAGGGGTATTTTATTACAAAATGCTAAACGCTACAACGAGGCTTTGCAATGTTATGAGAAAGCAATTGAATTTAGAAAGAAGTTGGCAGGTAAAGCAGCTATCAAAGAATAAACTTAAAATAATATCTTGCCATAATTTCGAGCACATTATCTAAATACACATTAATAACTACAAATGGATAGAATGTAATTGCTGATTTTAAATTTCCTCGTAATCTAATAAACTTTAAACTGATATCCTATGCAATACAGCCGCTTACTTAAATATCGGTGTTGTTTACGAAAAGTTAGGAAAGAAAGATGAGGCCATAAAGGTAATTTTACAATATAAGCTTACTTTCATTTTATAAATTCCTTAATCTTAAAATCTTGTCAGATTTTCGTAGTCTACTATTCACTAGTTTAACTCCAGAACTTGCTGCAGTGCATAGTATTACTTACTGTATTTATTGCTTCGCTGCGGTGCGAATGCGATCGCATTATTTCAAATTTTCGGATAGTATGACTATGTTCAAAATTTTGGTATCTCATAATTTTTAGATGTAACTTAAATATGTCTTCATCAGAATGATTACATACGATCTAGTTGAGCAAAATAGATTTACTGATGAAAATTATTTCTTTGAGATTACCATATGAAAATATAACTAAAAGACGAGAAATATTTCATTCGATAGATTTATTTAGGACTAGTGTAATAGCAGCATCTTTCTAATGAAAAGGTAATTTTACAACTCTTCTTGTAGATCTACCGTCTTGGATCGCAGCTTGATGATGTTGGTCTTAAAAACCCTAAAGCTCAGCAACATTCAAGTATGTCATATAATTTTATAAGGGAAATTTATAATACTACACTTGGTATTTCAGCAATGTATCATGAAATTCTTATATTAAAACTGTCATCAATGTTTCTGTTGCGTTATAAATCTTAGTTACAGGAATTTTTTTCAATTTGGGAACCTTACTACTGCGTGAAAATCAATTGCAGGTTTAGCAAATTATTAATCGTGGAATAGACTCATTCCGTTTATTAATAGTTCTATTTTTTTATATTGAAATCCGTCAAAAAATTCCTCATGATTACTTATTATATATTATTTATATTGACGTAGGAGGCGCTAGATAATTTTATGAAAGCTGTTGAGAAATGTCCGGAAGATTATCCAGTTTACAGCATTTATAATATGATAGGTAAATTTAACGAGACTAGGAAATTATCTATTGGATTGAATAAATTGGTGAAATGTGTGATGTATTTATCCATTTATACGTCTATTAACTGTTTTAGGAGAAACATATAATCGTTTAGACAAGCATGATCGTGCTGAACTTTGGTTTAAGAAAGCTATTGCAAAAAAAGTAAATCATCTTCCCGCGTACCTAACCTATGCTAAATCCATGGCTAGCAAGGTAGATCAACTATTAAAGTTGTCAATAAGCGCTATCTGCGAAGTATAGAATGCAATACTAATAGGATATTAATCAAAATAGGATTGTATTTAGTTCATGCTTGCATTAAAATGTATATAGATGGCTCTTCAATGATTAGGATGTGGTGAATTACAACAATTTTTAACATTTAGTCTTAAGATTTTATATCGTAGTCACTAAGGCTATGAAGTTAATAGTTATTAGTCACTACACAGATATATTTTAAATTTGTTCACTATTATTTATTTCCGTAACTTAATACGTGTTTCTTATTTAGGGCAATTTAAAAGTGGCGGAAAGGCTATACAAGACTGCTATTCAGCTTAAGCCGGAAAACGCAGATGCTTTAGCACACTACGGTAAAGGGTGAAATTAGATTTTATAATTACTTGTTTACAACAAACTTCAAATACTATCGTAAAAAAAGCTATAAAATTTAATGGATGTTATATAGTTTGGTATTCAAGGTCAATAAATCTTTATAACTAAGCAAATTAATATCTATCATTTCTACTTCTGTGTTGTAAAGGTCAATTTTTACTCGATCACAATCGTAAAATAGAAGGCGCTGAAATATTCGGTCAAGCTGCAAGGATAGCACCAAATCAGTTGTCCGTGATATACAACGCTGGCAATGCATTTAGGTCTTTTTCTTTTGCTATTAAGTTTATATTTTGAGAGATTATTGCCTAAATAGATTACTATGAGTGAAATCAAAATCATACTCATTGGTTTATGACTATTACGAGCTAGGACTTGAATATTCACAACCCTCAAGGCTTACACCTTTGCTACTTATTAATTGATTTGTAGGGAAGCTGAACTGTATTCCAAAGCAGAGGAATATTTCAAGGCAGCTTTAAATTTATCAAATAAGGTAATAGATGCAATACTATTTTATATAGTAACTATAAGAGTATGGAAATATCTATATAGATTTATTTAAGTTCGTGTATTTGTATCTGCGCATAAATTCGTAGTTTACACGCTTTTACTGCTTGAACTAAAACGAATGAATTTTGCGTAAAATTAGGACATCAATATCTATGTTAATCTTGGAGCTATAAATCACATCCAAGGCAAGCTGGACGAAGCTGAACATTATTATTCCATAGCTTTGAAACTAAATCCGGACAATCAAATTCTGTTAACCAACATGGCTAAATTACGACGCCGCAGAAGTAGGAATCAACACAAACACTAGACGGGATATACGTATTCGTGTAGATACTTAAAGAGCACTGACGTATAAATAAATATTAAACAATCTTTAATATTTTTTAAGCGATTTATTGTATAGTGCGATAGTGAATTATAATTACGATATTGTTACAATTTGCTGTCATATCTCTTATAAAATAAAAATAGCCCAAACTCAACTTGTAGTAATGGTTACAGAGCTATTAAATTCAAATAGATAATCTGACATAAATTAACATATCGTACTAAAATCTTTTATTAAGAAATAATTCGATTCCATTTAAAAATGTTCTTAAAGTCTCTCAAAATATCTACCGGTTTAGGATAGTGAAATTCTTATGCGTATCAAGTTTAAAGGATTATCAGTTACATGAATTGTATTATTTTATGTAAAATTTGAGACTGGGCTATAAATACACAAAAGTTATGCCGAACTATATTATCTTTACTGTACATTATATTTTTTGTTTCAGCAAAATAAAATAAAAATAGAGTAACTAAACGGAGTACAGAACAAGCGAAGATATAAAATCATGTACTCATAAAGAATGGTATGACAGTCTTGTGCTCCATTCTTATCAAATCGCAAGACAGCTAACTAGATAAGCCATCTAAGACTTTATATAAAAGATCTTAGTACTTGTTAGTTTAAAACAGATATAAAGAAATTGAAAGAATAAACAGAGCTGCTATCGGTCATAAATTATAGTTAAAGTATTAAATCACTTAAAAGTTACACAAATCTGTGGAGTCATACACTGAAACTGTCCAAAATGTGAAAACATAATGACTCAGAAACATACGCTTAAGCTTGTTAAGGCAATGTTGTAAATAGTTCCAATAGCAGAGGCTGATATTGTGTACATTTTTTATCATGAGCCTAGTTAGTATTAGTATATCAGCATAGCTGCGTTTCATTTTATACAGTCAAAGATGAATGGCAAATCACTTAGAATCCATAAACTTTAAGCAAGACCTGTTAATACAGATCTATATAGAAAATTGGCTAATTGTAAAAATTGTTCCGTATATTCCCTATAAGCTTGGAAAAATAAGTTTCTATCTAGTATCATCATCTGCATCGCTAATATCAGGCACACTAATGATGGAAGCAGCCAGTTCTTCATCAATAGATCCGCTTGGGAAATCGCTAATACCTTTTATCAAGTTACTTTCACGAATTTCTTCTGCCGTCGATTTTGTACGTGTTAATTTATTGGCGACTTTTTTGTCAGCTTTAGCTTTAGCTCTAATTTCTGCTTGCATACGTAGTCTTTCAGTGTAAAAGCCATTGTAGTCGACTCGTGCTATAATGTTGATAATACTTTGTTGATAATTAATCACACCTAGTTCTCCAACTCTATCCAATAAGTCGATTAATTGCTTAAGAAAATTTTTACTAAAGTTATCGATTGATCGCTCAAATTCATCGCTACCAATTAATTGGTCAATATGTTCTGACACAATCTGTAATTATAATATAGGTAATCGTCATATTAATAGATATTATCAAGTAAAAGAGCTAGATGTCTAACCTTAGTTGTTACTCTTCTCTCTTCTAGAGCTTGCATACCACCAATACTTTTTCCTGCATTTCCTATCATACTTCTTGATAAATTCTGGCCAGTAACTTCAGTTATTCGAGAATCAACTTCTACACTGTGAGAAAATCTCTATGGAAATGAAATAATTTGTTCTTTTATTAACAGCAATCTTACAGTGTCATCATCCAAGTTACTAGTAGTAGATAGTTAATTGTTTCGATTGTATTTGAAGTAGTCCTTACATTCATCCAATTTGTAAATGTTACACAGACCAACATCAGTTTACTGACAATTTTAAGTAATTCTGGGTTTGTTAACATACATTCTTCCAAACATCTATCTAGAAAATCATTGTGGTGCTCTAGTAGCTCATCGATATTGGACACCTAAATTGGATGCACAAAAGTAATTCAATAACGTAATTAAGTATCAGAACTATCATAAAATTGATAAGTTCCTGATTATCTAAAATTAAAGATGAAAAAGGCAATTACAAGTAGCAATTTTTCTTCAAGAACATGCCAGTTTGGCGCAATAACCTAGAGAGAATTATTTAATGATATTTAATAGTTAGTTATAATAAAAATAACTAAGCTGTAACGACTGCTAGTTTTTCGCATTCTTACTTCAAAAATCATATAATACTGATAATTTTGAACAAAGTGTAGCATCCTTTGGCGCAACGCAAATGCCGCAGCATACCTATAAAGTTTAGTAAGTGTTATCGAGGTTAACGTTGTGTTACTATATGTTCTTAAAAATAAGCACTGTATGCCAGATGACTATAAAAGATACCAACAACACGGATGAACTATAATTTGAGATGACACTTACCATTTGGACGCTCGTAGTTGGTATTGCTTTGCAACTTTGCTGCTTACCCAAATACTAGAGCACAGTAAATAATATAAGACGAATATTTCTTGTAAAAGGTTCATCTGGTTAGGTCTTGATCAATTTCTATTGTCAACTATAATCAGTACCCATATAGTCTTATGATCTAACCTGCATAACTGTTTCTCGACGTGTTTAGCGTAGAACAGATGGCGAAACAACATTTGGTATCTTGTTAAGGCCTAACAGGAAAAAGATAAATTACGCTAAGCTAAGAAATTGTCACATATCTATATTTAATGCTAAGAAACTATGCTTAATAGACTTTCCTACCTTACGACTGATAATAATGGAAAGTGGCCAATGTACAGTAAAGTCGAATGTAAATGCCTCCAAAACTATTAACGTAGAAAAGACACAGGATTGTTTTAGATCTTTTAACTTGCTTCGGCGTATAAAATCTATGGACTAGATTGCCTACCTGATATATTAACTGTTTGTTCTGTTGGGCGCTTTGTATCTTGAGATACCGCAAGTATCCGGAAGAGTTGTGTAATAAGATCATAAGATAATAACTCTATCCTAAAAGAATTCAATTGGAGTTATTCAATACAGTCTGCCAGGCATTCGAATAAAGAGTTAAAATATTCTGATACCTTAAATCGTCCTTGTAAGGATCATGAACTGCAGCACTAGTGCGTAACGCTAACTCGAGTAAGGCATCTAAACGGGGCAATACGATATCTATAAAATGTTAAGAATTGTACCAAACCTGCACGAGTGTTAAAATTGTCTCTGTAATAATTTTAAAAAGGAGTATTAAAAAATGTAGCTAATAGGATATCTTCAACACTCTTTCGCATTTCATCTTCAGCCAAGTCCATAAAATGAACGAAAAAGTCACCTTGATTCATCAGAAAGTAGTTTCTAATAGATCTAGCAAGTTAAATTCGATGGTCAGAAGATTCAATTACTTCTTGAATAACTGTTTACACCAGTACAGGATATTCAGTACCTCAGTCTACCCTTTAAGTCTTTCTCTTTTAGTAGCACCTTTAGTAACTCTTCACTGGCATAGTTATAAGCCCGTTCAATGTGGTCTATATACCTATAAAGATTACGTACAGAATAAGATATACATAATTTGAACTAAAGAACATTAGTAATATTTGTATGCTTAATCGTAAATTTACTTTCGGTCATCTAGGGTGTACACTATTTCTTCCGCGTTCGGATATTGCACATCGCGTCCTAAATCAAATAAGTAAAAAGTTATCGTGAACTTATGAGTAGCAAAGTTTAATGTCATGAAACAGCTTTTTTCCGTCACTTATTTACCACATTCACGAATAACGTTTAAGTACTTTCCGGTTCTTAAGATCTTTTCCGCAAGCTATAATTTATGTTATAAGAAATACCGTAAGATATTGATGTATAAAATGGGAAAATACAGGGCTTATCAAACCTTTGACAAGAAAACAGGAATCCGATCAGGTTGTATCGTGTAGCGGTGATCCCAGTAAGCATCGTGTAAATCTTCAGCGATTCCTTCTTTTAATAAACTCGTATTCTCTATGATGAAGAACTACATCCGTACATTAGATATAAATATGTTAACTGTAGTCAGAAAGCAATATAAATTTCAATTTCTCTGTATTACTAGGTATCTAACCTCAGAATAAGGATCGACAATGATACCCTTATAGATCCAGTGTTCGAGTATTTCAAAGAACGGTTGACCAGCAGATTGCGTGAGATGAAAACTAAGTTCTTGTATCTTTGAATCACTGCAAAACATATAGTAATTTTGACACATTAAGCAAAAATTCATAATAGTAAAGAATCGGATGATACGTCAATTTCATCATCATAATGATATATATGCAAAAAGTTCTACATATTAGCTAACATTAGGTGGCTCTTTGTAACTTCGTGAAGTAAGGTTAAGACATTACCACCACGAAGAAAACCCTGCGAAAAAAGTAGATGTAAGGCTATATTGATACTCGCAATTGAATACATATAATGAATTACAGACGACTAAGCGGATACCTTGTTAATCGATAGGATAATAGATTGCACTACTTCAAACGTTTTCATGCTTGGTTGCAAATAAAACCACATTTTTTGAAGTGATAAGTTGCCCTGATATTTTGTAAGGTGAAAAGTACGACGTTCTAGCTAAAGATTTGTCAATATCGTGCTACGTCTTCTAATATACAGTACATAAATTATTATAACAATTAATTATTAGCTCTTACTTGACGTATTTGATGTTCAAGCTGCGCGGTAACGATAAGGTGTTCCTGTAATGGAAATGTTAGCTTTGGTCAGTAATTTAATAAATCTTCTACGAAGCTACGATAAATACCAAGTTCAACTACAAGGCTTGGAAGATCTTCGTAAGCAATCATGCATATACCTTCATTAATTCATGAATTGCAGCAGTAAGAGCTTGATTTACTAAGCCATACTCGAAAAAACATTTTTCTACAAATGAATAAAGTTGTAAGGATTTCATTATTGTTGCATAACTCCTTATCATACTGGGATAGTCTAATGATTAATCTCAGTACCTTCTAAAAATTGACAAATAATGGAATAATAACTGCACATAGGGAGGATGCGATTAATTAGTTCCATTAATGAAGGGTCTAGATTTAAATGTGGATCAAAGAAGTAATAATTTCAATTTTTATTAACATAATGTTGATAAATTGATATAGCCTTTATAATTTGTTGATCTCAGTAGGAGCAATACCGGTAATCTTTTATAATTTGGGGCATACCTAAAGTTTTATCGATTATGAATGATCTAACACCACTTCTGTCTCTGCCTTGTTTGACCAGTATATACTTTCCTTCAACACCCTATAATAATTATAAGAGCACGATATAAAAATACTGCTGTTTAAGGTGAAATAGTCCGCTGTAAAGGTTTGCTTGATTGTTTGCAAGAACCTTTAATAGATATAATAAATCTTCCAAAATTGCTAATTCCTGGAGAGGCAACGGTAGGGTTCCAATTGAAACTTGTTCAGACTGTAGTATTCGAGATAGAAAGATATAGTAAACGATGGACAATTTTATTCTTAAGGCTAAAGGTTAGCTGTCTATTAAAAGTATACGCAGATTGTATTGTAATTAGGTAAGAATTGTCGATGTGATAAGTTATTCTTACCGCTGCAGTGATACGACTTTCTGGCACATTAATTACATAGTCTTGTGTAAGGTATGGGCGCTCAGTTATCCATTCTGGCCTGTCAGGTACCTTCGTACCTTTTCCATAAATGTAAAGAATTGCAATAAAGGTACCTTCACGATTTCAGTGATTTACAGTTACAACCTAGTTTTCACCTGCTAGTTTCTTAGCTTGCTTTTCTCTTAATATTTTTCGTAAAGCTTCACTTGAATGATAATTACTGCTGCCTCCAGTCGCGATGGCTATTTGGTTTTGAAGCTGTAACGTAGCAATATGCAAATAAAGTAGAGGGTATTCGATTGAGTTACGCCGCTTAAGAAAAGAATAAAATGCTGTGTTTGCAGTTACTGCATTTACGAGATAGTTTTACCGTCTTAACATCATCTACGGATACAGTACGTAATTGTTCGGATGTGGAACTTGATAATGAAGAATTTACACTAGGATACTGGAAGTCTTCACTTGAAGTTTTGGCGGCATGATCTTTTAAATATTCTACTACACTCTTTTCATCAATTAACTTTGATAGGAAAAATGTCAGTGAATCTACTTCTTGAATACTATGAAATTATAAATAGAACAAATTTATTACGTTAGCATGAATTGATCGAGAAATGCAAGCAACTATTTATTTTATTTAGTTCTAATTTTTAGACTGAGCCAAGACAAGTTAAGCTTTAAAGAGATTGGAAATAACCATCTGCGACTACTAAAATCAGTATAGTAGTTGTCTAAAAACTGTGGGTAAATTACCTTCTGGATTTTAAATCGTTGTATTTACGTAAAAATTCACTTGGAGAAGAGCACTGATCAGCAATTTTTCGCTTGGCGGTATGGGCAGATACCTGTAACGTTTTAGAAGAACAAATGAAATGTTTGCTTGGAAAGATTTAGAATGAGAGGAGTTTATTTTTACAGGTGTAAGAATTGAATAACAAAGTAATTCTCACTGCTGTCTATATTGTACGTTTCTATTGGGCATGGATGACAATATACCAGGTGTTTGGAACTATAGCATCTTACTGCCTGGTGATACCTTGACTGTCGAAGGTAATTTATTTACTCTTATGATACGTCCATTCTTATGCTAAGATGAGAAATAGTCTTGCAAATCTACATTGTTGGCAATGTATGTAATAGTTGTAAACACACCTGAGTAGTTACATAAGGAGTAGTATTTTTCTGTAAAATGTCGGCATAAACTTCAGCTCCTTTGCCTCCAGTCCTAGAATTATAATTTGATCATGTTCATTGTGACATATTCTAGAGGCTATTTATACAGTATGTATATATAAAAGTTGCTTCAAATGCAATGAAGTCGCAGTACATTCCTGTAAAAGTGCTATGAGTATGGAATAGGCGTACATACTGTATGCAATATTATTCTAGTAGAGTGTTTATTGCTGTTCATGTAGTCATTTAGTGAAGATACAAGATTAACGTTATGAAATGTTTTAATTGTTGTATGCACTTGCTTAGACATTACTGACTAACCCTAATTTCTCCAATAACTCCGATACGAGGTGATGAATATGGAATTCACTCATTTTCCTTGCACAATTTTGAAGGTACGCGCTGAAGCATAAAAATAGGAGGAATTGATTTGCAGGTTAGGGCTAAGATGCACGTATTCAGTACGCTACACAACAGCTACACGGATCCAGTTGTGGATTTGTAGCAGTCGTTCTTTCAGGTTGATCCAACTACACTAACCGACTACCACTAGCTTTAATAGAAGAATTGAGCAAGATAGGTTAAGGTCTACAATGGATTTGGCGCCGTCGGTGATACAGTCTAGTAGATCTCTGCTAATTTAGTTGTTGATTTGGGTCTCCGTTGGCATTCTATGCATCGCCATTTCGAGGATATGGGAATGAATTTTGAAGGGCAAAGATATTACCGCCACCAAGGTACCGTACAGCAAACTGCCGCCGCCACTTGACAAGAGTACAGTGCAGTAGTTACAGTACAATGTACGATACATATGTACTGTACCTTGAGCACTGTGGACTGTACCGTACAGTACGGTTACAGTCCATTTTGCCAATCAGCTACAGTACAGTGCAGTAACTTACAGTGTATTATACTGTACTGTACTGTAGTTAACAGTGTACTGTACTGTACAGTACACTGTACAGCACGAGTCAGTACCGTAGAGACGGTAGAGTTTCTTCTTTCCATACAGTACAGTACTAACGGTACCCAAGTACTGTACAGTACAGTATTGTACAGTGCAATGGGTGGGCAAAGATTTCATAACATTATTTATTTTAGGCAGCACTGCTACAGACAGTAATAATATGCTATAGCAGCAACTGGTCTTGTCGTGACATAGAAGTACAGTACAGTACACGTAAACGGAAAAAGCGATTTTTTCCCTTTCTTCTCTCTTTAGTCACTTTAGTAGAGTGTCGACTACTATGCTGTACACTGTACAGTGTACAGTACAATGGCGCTCTGACTGCGTGTTTTACGGCACAGCAGTTCAGTACACTGTATCGTAACAACACCCATAGTAGCCATCAGTCACCATAGTTACCAGTCACCAGTCACCCACCTACCACTCACCAGCTACAAGTTGAATGCCACAAAGCCTTGTGGGAAAGCGTCCGATCATTGATACTGCGCATGTATTTTATCCTCGCAGTATTGAATCATCGACTTTTAGGGCTTGATCGCCATCTTGTGTGATCTTGGTTCGTGCTGCTGCAGACGGTGATCATGTTGTCAAGATCTAGGATAGCTCTATCTGCTAGCTACGGTAAAATAAAAGATTCATGTTTTCTGTTATTGCTGGTATTCGCCAATGATGGTGTTGCTTATGATTTTATAACAATAAGGTAGTTGAGAAAATCGGTAGTGAACGCTATCCAACGGTCACAGCTGTACTCTATTAGTTTAATGTGAAGTATGCTCGCATTTTTAGTTTATGTAATAAATTTCAAGTTTGTTATGAGTCAGTCATAATCTCTTTTTCCTGACTTGATGGTAGATTGCAGCAATTATTTAGTACAAAGTAGAAGCTGAGTTCCATAACTTTGCAGTTTTAAACATCACTTGCTGTAGCCCCGTGCAACTTACGATAGGTTGGCTATCCATACAACACGTACGTACTGTACTGACAGTACTTTGCACTACAGTATATACAGTACAGTACTATAACTGTCCACATTGACGGTTCAAAACCTTGTGGAATCGATACGCGTTTACATATTGTCCAGCATCACATTTCTACTAGCCATCCACTAGTGCGCTATCATGATATTTGATCGTTAATTCTATCTTGATTAAAGCTGAATTATTCTTAACTTTATTCTATTCTCATGACTTACTTACAAGTATGGTATAGTACCATCAAAAGTTCTCAATTTTTTCGTCGTTTTTTTGTAATCATGAATAACTGCTGAATTTCTATCTTGGATATACTTGTGCATGAAATTGTTGGTTTTGACTACTGTGGGCTAACTTTAAGTGATACTTTCACAGTTGTGTTGATGAAATATACTTAAATATTTCAATCATAGTTCTTTGGTACTAAGTTTGAGGTAGCGTTGATTAACGTTTTACTATTTAAACACTTTTTAGCGCTGCTCAACGCTAGCAAGAGAAGTGTGGGCAAAATCGTTCAACCAAGGTAAGCTGGTTATGTTCATGATGCAATAATAGATAATGGTACGATAGTACTGTATATTTTCTGATTTCATGGCTATTCCCATCATATCTAAATAGCATTATTTCGTTTATAGTATTGTTATCCTTAACAATCGCTGCATCTCTCAAAGTCCCCGCTTGGCTAAAGAGAGTAAGTTTACTGAGCTAACTAAAGTTTTATGCTACCTTCACTTCAGTTAGCTGTACAGTAGTTATATCATTATTTAGCAATTGTAGTCTTAATAGCTTCTACTTTAAGAAAACTGTGTTAACTCCAGATGATGAATTACTCTATTGGCGATATCAGATAGCAGGATTTTATTGCATCGAAATGATGTACTAGTTATGAGGTTTCAATTAATTTCTTGATTTAATATGGAACAGATGCTGTACAGACTACGTCAAATAGGACACTGAAAGAACTGATTGAAGAGAAAACTGGAACATCAGGTAAAATTGAATGATACATGCATAAAATAATTTTTCTTATACTGTTTAACTTTTCAAGGATAATTATTTTGATAAATTCAATTATTATTGTTTTTCTATTTCAGGTCCTTATGTTTTGGGTGGTGGTATATTAGCTTATTTGTTATCAAAAGAAATGTTGGTTCTACATACTGAGGTTTGCTTGTGATTCCTACCATTAAAATTGATGGCAGTGCTTATAATATTTCTGACATTTCTACACTTTTTAATATGGCCAGTTAAATTGCTTTACTCGGTACTTTTTTCATTGAATTGAAATTTATATTTGATTGCTAGACTTTGATTGCTCTCTCCATTTTTGGTGTGAGTTACGGTATCATTAGGAAAGTTGGTAAGCCGACCGCTGAATTTCTCGATCAACAAGGAGATGTAAATACAGACTATTTCGAAATGATATTATTAACTTATACACTATGCTTAATGACTAATCTTCTATATTTGTTTATTAGGAGATCCTTGATACCCTAAATGAAGGGCGAAATATGCAAATGGAGAGATTACAAGAGGCTATCGAAGCTGAAAAGGGTATAGAACGTATGTTTGATTCACGAAATGAAATATTTGAAGTTATGAAGGTTAGCTACCATTGGTTTACTCTTTACGATATGGAATATATTTATTTGATGTTGACTAATTAAAATATTATACGAACGATAGGAAAATAATGCCATGAAATTGGAATTAGAATATCGTAAAAGACAACAACATGTTTACGAGGAAGTTAAGAAACGACTTGTACGTATGCAGTAAATTATTATAATTTTTGAGCAAGTATTACATACGCATTCTTTGTATATTACATTTAGGATTATCAAGTAGAAGTCGAACAAACAAAGCGAAGGCAGGAAAAAGAGCACATCGTTGGTTGGTTGGAACAGGAAGTTGTTAAGAGTATCTCCGCTCAACAGGTATAGCTTAATCTTCTATGTTTACTAATACCTTACGTGGCATGTTATTGATAATCATTATGTTTAATTTTTTTTAGGAGAAAGATTTCCTAAGTCAGTGTTTTGTTGATTTGAAGGCTATTTCTAGTAGCAATAGGTTATAATCTTGCTGAGGATATTTTATGTTGCAACTAATTTACACTGTATGATGTGTAATTTCAAAAGCGCTGTTATGCTATAAAATTGTAAAGCCAATAAAATGTTTAACTTGCTAGATTCATGCGTGTGTTCGATTAAACAAGATACCGATATTTGATAAACGTGATGCACTGACTATGTTGCTACATGGCAGTAGTAGATATTATCTTATACTGCCAACGTCATGATTTAAAATTAGATACGACAGCCCTAACCTTATATTACAATTGTTGATGTATTACATATGTGCATATGAGGGGAATAATTAGAAGTACTTTGGCTACGGGGGTATAAAATACGAAGTCAAGTATTGATAGCTTGCGTGATTATAATTATTACTTTAAAAATATGATAAACATTACTTTCGTTATAGGTAGATCGTGTAATGTAACCTACATACAGGAATAGATGATAATCGCCTGTAAACAGGATGGATTACGATAATGAGTTAATCTTTCCACTGGATCTACGGGTATCACATGAATAGCAACTGTACTGTTGATGTTACAGTTTAAAACTACTATTAAACCTTGGATAGGTATTATGCTATGTGAGTTAAAAACGTACTTCAGCGATGAAGTAAGGATTTGTAGGTTCGATTTATCAACTGATACGTATTCCAATATGCGAGATGAACTCGATACGATTATCCATATTGTATCTGTATGTAGGATAAATGGATGAAATAGAATTACTACGCTATCGTTATTTCAGACACCATTTTATATAAAGTGGTGCGAAGACAACATCAATGTTACTTTTAATGTTGGAAACCAGAACCTAGTTCTTTAATTATTTAAAGCCATTTCTTTCTAAAACTTAAATACAGTACATAGAATGTTTGTGGTACTATTCATTTAGAATGTAATTTTTACTCGCGTTAAAAACAGTTCTTAAGATGATAATTCAATATATGCCCAGCAATGTTTAAAATTAATTTGGTTCCGTGTTTTTCCTTCAGAGAAGTTTTTACTTGAACTTAATATTGATCTTTATTTATTTTTATATTTCCAACATGTTTAGTGCCTTTAAGGCTAAAATTGAAATTATAATTATTTAGGACAATAAGTTTAGAACTCAATTTGTTTATGTTTAAATTTTTACTGGCTTTAATAGTTCTAAATCAGACTAGCCACTCAAATACAGTATTACGGGAGTTGATACAATGGGTCGGAAAGATGTACAGCGTAAATTTAAACTGATCACTAAAAGATTGAGTACATATAAATAAAATCTCAGAGCCTGTATATGTTACACACAAATACTCAGCAAAAACTTTAATCAATTCTTTACATGATAAAAATATAACTTTAATTCAAATTTATCATGGGAAAAGTAACGCAATTAATTTTATTTAAACCAGTCTACTTCGGATGTATCTAAGGAATTGCGCACAGAACATAGTGTAATTGTGCCCTTCTTATGTAGTTGATAAGTTAGTAAAAAAGTAGTAGGTGAATCACAAGTAGACAAGTGAAAAGTACTCGATGATGTCGGATCTAAATTTTTTGGACCTAAATGGCGCGGTAAAGTAGTTGGTTAGCTGTTTAATATCCTTATTTAACATTGTTTAATATTCTCGTATTACTCACTACTAAACTTATATAATAGTCTTGCATACTACAAGTTTAAAAATTGAATAAGTTATTTAATATCACAACTCGAATATAAACTTACTATTGGTACTGGTTACCAATAATGTAGGATAGAACCACTCTTGCATTATTTTATTGTCTTTGTCTATTTGTAAGGAAGGTCAAACAATATTTTATATTCTCTTTTTTATCAATATTCATTACTACCGTTTACTCTAAGTCAAATACTCACTGCTACTTGGTGTAGTACTTACCATCTTTAACATCCTTAGTACTAAATGAACTAGAATTAATCGCAGCAATAAGATGGCAAGAAACATTCCTTGAGGTCTCGGGTTTGCTAGTTCTAAAGTATGCAGATATTGTAGGTGAATATATTATGCAATATATTCATGCACAATTGAAAGAAAAGTACTAGTTTAAACATAGTTTATATTGATAAGCAATTTAACATTAGCACCAAACAGGAACATCTATGAACTTTTAAGATAGAATACGAGAAGAAACTTTTTAAGAACGTTTGAACTGGTAGCAAGATAGCTACGTAAAGCCTTTCAGTAGTTAAAAAATGAATGGTCCATTTCTTACACGCGTACTTACAGCTTTGATGAATAAAATTCTACGACATCATATAAATACGAACATATAGTAGCTTTGATGGCATTCTTTTGCGCAGTCTATAACGAATTAATGATAGTAGGCTCGGTTTTATAAAAGACATAAAATTGAAACACGAGTGTTGCGTAGACGAAAATAAAAACAATTTACGGTAATACAAGGAAGATTTATTCTTGACCTTGTTCTTGTCGATATAATAAGTATCTAAGTCGTCAATGATCACTGCGTACGGTATATTTCTTTCCACTGTATGTGCAGAAGATAGAAACTGTAGAAGTTGTTGAAGATTTTTGGGATACCTATAATGTGTGTTATACAGCATAAAAAGCAGTCAGGTCATACATACCTTTACTATGGTGTTATTGGCGTTAATATCTAGAAGCTACTTCTACAACAGAAGAAAAATTGACTAGTACAGAGCTCTTGAGGTCATTTGTGATTTCAAGGAACCATCATTTTAATATTAATTGCAGTATCTATCTGGGAGACGTTTCGAAAATGACTTACACCATTGTAATATATTTTAATAATTTTGCAGTTGGAGGCTCTTTCCCTTCTGACAATAGGGGTATTTTATCCGGTTGAGTGGGTGATATAAAAAGAACATATTTGTCTTCTTCAGCCAAGCTTAGCGAATATTGAAATAGAAGTGACGTCCTACCGCTAGAAAAGGAATTGATGACAATTAATTTACCCGTCTATACCACCGCATGTTATGATTACCTATACGATAGCGCTGAGGTGATTTTCAGTCATGTTGCTTTGTAAGATGAAATTAGAAAAAGCTTGATAAAATTTTGAAATTGCACTCAATACCAATTAAGTAATATTGTAGTTGTACTGTTTTGCATGCTACTGTACTTGACATCGTTTATTAATGAACATCTTTGTACATAATTCTATATTACTAAATGGAGATTTTAATTCTAGCATGAGAGCGATTTGTAAGCTGGAAATATGGCCATTTTACGTAGGAATTGTACTTGCAACTAATTCAATTTGGAGTTGTTTAGTATCACCGACAATGCTATCATTGACTTTGAGGTTAGTGACTGTTATTTCAACTTAGCGATATGTTAATTTACTTGCATGATATTGTTTCTGGTAGTAACGAGATGCAGTACCTGTATACTCGTATGTTGATAGCATTAATGGACAGCGTGTTGGAATTGTTGTAGGATCACTAGTAGTACACCGATGCTATCAATTTCCAGTTATGACTGGGAGGATATTCAATACTTGGTATTAAGGTTTGCATATTTTGATGCAATTATCAACAGCATCATTGGGTTCTTCTAGCCTCGTTTACTAGCACTGACTATCATGGAGATTTCAATATTCAATAATATTATTATACTACTACTATCTATCTATCCTGATGGCATTATCTATAGCATCTTTGAATTATCCTCGGATTATTCAACGATGGCTGGGAAAATTTGTATTGGAATTGATTGCATTCATTGTGCTCGATGTTGATATAGTGACAGAAATTCGCTACTGTCTGTAGATTCGATTTATTTTGGAGTTGAGAGTAGCATCATATCAGACCTCTTTGTAGGAGCAGCCAGTAAGATTTTCCTACTTCTTTCTTCATACAGATTAGCGTTTAATGGTTGGCCGATCGCTGGAAAAAATCGAGCTAACATATTACTAGGTCCAATGTTTCTCAGCAAGTAATGACTGGCACTAGTCAACTAATTTGAGGAGTAGAAAGCCATCGAGGTAAAAGCACCTTCTATGTAGAAAGCGTTGAATTAATATTTGTCGAAGTTGTTGCAAATTGCCAACGCTGGATGATGAATGGGATCGATTTGATTGAAGGCTCAACCTGCTCTGGTAGTGAGTTGACTTTGCAACTCAATCGATTCTCGAACGTCATCATCACCGTAGTTCTGTACGTACTGTCTACCGTACACTGTACTGTGCACGGTAGAGTCGACAGACTTTGACTCCAGTTCTACAGTACTGTACAGTACTTTACAGTACGTACTGATGAATGGAATCAACTTGATTGAAGGCTCAACCTGCTCTGATAGTGAGTTGACCTTGCAACTCAATCGATTCTCGAACGTCATCATCACCGTAGTACGTACTGTGCACGGTAGAGTCGACAGATTTGGACTCCAGTTCTACAGTACTTTACAGTAGCCTGTACACTGTACAGTACGTACTGAAGAATGGGATGAATTTGATTGAAGGCTCAACCTGCTCTGGTAGTGAGTTGACTTTGCAACTCAATCGATTCTCGAACGTCATCATCACCGTACTGTAGTTCTGTACGTACTGTCTACCGTACACTGTACTGTGCACGGTAGAGTCGACAGACTTTGACTCCAGTTCTACAGTACAGTACTTTACAGTACGTACTGATGAATAGAATCAACTTGATTGAAGGCTCAACCTGCTCTGATAGTGAGTTGACCTTGCAACTCAATCGATTCTCGAACGTCATCATGTACGTACTGTGCACGGTAGAGTCGACAGATTTTGACTCCAGTTCTACAGTACTTTACAGTAGCCTGTACACTGTACAGTACGTACTGAAGAATGGGATGAATTTGATTGAAGGCTCAACCTGCTCTGGTAGTGAGTTGACTTTGCAACTCAATCGATTCTCGAACGTCATCATCACCGTACTGTAGTTCTGTACGTACTGTCTACCGTACACTGTACTGTGCACGGTAGAGTCGACAGACTTTGACTCCAGTTCTACAGTACAGTACTTTACAGTACGTACTGATGAATAGAATCAACTTGATTGAAGGCTCAACCTGCTCTGATAGTGAGTTGACCTTGCAACTCAATCGATTCTCGAACGTCATCATGTACGTACTGTGCACGGTAGAGTCGACAGATTTTGACTCCAGTTCTACAGTACTTTACAGTAGCCTGTACACTGTACAGTACGTACTGAAGAATGGGATCAATTTGATTGAAGGCTCAACCTGCTCTGGTAGTGAGTTGACTTTGCAACTCAATCGATTCTCGAACGTCATCATCACCGTAGTACGTACTGTGCACGGTAGAGTCGACAGATTTGGACTCCAGTTCTACAGTACTTTACAGTAGCCTGTACACTGTACAGTACGTACTGATGAATGGGATCAATTTGATTGAAGCCTCAACCTGCTCTGGTAGTGAGTTGACTTTGCAACTCAATCGATTCTCGAACGTCATCATGACCGTAGTACGTACTGTGCACGGTAGAGTCGACAGATTTGGACTCCAGTTCTACAGTACTTTACAGTAGCCTGTACAGTACGTACTGATGAATGGGATCAACTTGATTGAAGGCTCAACCTGCTCTGGTAGTGAGCTGACTTTGCAACTCAATCGATTCTCGAACGTCATCATCACTGTAGTACTGTACGTACTGTCTACCGTACACTGTACTGTACTGTGCACGGTAGAGTCGACAGACTTTGACTCCAGTTCTACTGTACAGTACAGTACTTTACTGTACAGTAGCCTGTACTGTACTGTAGACACTATTGGTCTACACAAGTAGTACCCTATCATTAGTATCAATTTACATTACATCACTATAGTATGCAGACTTGACTCTGGTGGATGTCACTGTCTCGCTGATCCTCTACCATTCCATTGTGAACAAGAATATCCGATGGAACAATGGAGTTGGTGTGATCTAATACATTCATTCCGAGATTATTCCTTCAGGTAAGGTGCATGAATTTTAGTTTATGTCATCCATTCTTGTGATTTGGGTGGTTTAGGAACTAGCTTAATATCTTAGTATGCCTTTAACTGTCTTCAAGTGCTACAAATCGTTGTATAGAAAATGTCATAGCTTGTATCCAATGATTGGAAATGTTTTTCTGGACTCCAAAGTGGTGGAGTAGAATGGACAGCTTTCATTTTGATGATCATTTCCTTTGGCGTATGACCGATTGAATCAAGGGCTCATAGCTTATAGCACTTTAGATAGAACAGATAGGTCGAACGGATAACGCTTGTCTTACCAATTTACAGACGTAACTCTGAAGCCCAGATTGAACAGTCATGATCAATATCCTACTCGTATTCAGCACAATAGAAGAGTAAACGTCGGTATCTGCTTGCTAATTTTATTATAATAACCCTAATAATAATCATCATCTTACTTTATTCTGGTCTACTGTATGTCGGCTAGTAATGTATAATTATCGCACTCAAACTGTAGTCATGAATCTGATCAGTTGGAGGTACCATTTCAGATAGTTGCCTTGCTGTACTCAAGGCTGTTTTTTTCCATGCCATGACTACAATACTGTATCATAATTGAATGATCTACAATACTGTATTGTAATTGAATGATATCATAGGAATTAATTAATTTACATTTTCAACTGCATGCGTTGATATATGCTTTTGTATTTATCACATGCTCGATTCCATGATCGCCAGAACGAAAGATAGATCGGATCAATATCAATATAATAGTCATTATATACCCTTGATGGTTCTATTTTGGGGGGTCATAATAAAGTAGGAAATGGAATCCTGAAATCCTTCAATAAAAACGTCAAAGATCCATTCGATCGCTACCTACCGCGCTACTTTTCTACAATGCATGCGTTATAATGCTGTAGTCAACAACCATTCATACAGTATTTTCAAGCACTCTTTAACTCCTTATTTCACCAACAAGCAGCCCATGTCCAAGTATCAAGAATGAATGTTTACAGTTGCAAAATTTTGAATTCAATTTTCATTCATATCAAACGGATCATTTTATACGTCTTATTTAACTGCTGAGATACAGCCTGTTTATTAACCTTTACGGATGCATTAACGGTTATCATCATTGGACTTTAATTCATGTCATTCGTTATTGAGGTTGTAAACGTATTACGATCATGATCATCATATCCTATTACACATCCAAACATTCACAAATTGAAATATTCAGGAAACATATAAATTCACTGTAAAATTTCTTTATTATGCTATTTCTGTATTTTAACTAACAAGGTTAACAAAGCGACTTTGTGTCCATACCATACTTAGTCGGTCACTATATGCATGGCACTAGTAGTGTAGTGCTGATATTTCTATACATCAAAAATCTGACAATGGCATTGTGCAGTGTGGAAATTTATTGTAATCTGATTAGACTGAGAGTAAGAAAATTCCGGAAATTCCGGGCCAAAATTGCTGTCATCTAGTGGGGAATGCATAGTACCTCCTTTTCACTCGAGACCCGTGATGACTACTATCACAGTACTATACAATGTCTCTAGATCTACAGTAATTGATAGTATCGAAAACGTGTCCGTCGAGTGTTATAATTAATAATAATAATAAAATTAAAATAATATTGACGATATTTTGTATATACAGTAAGTTCAACTTCAGGTACTTAGCAAGCCTTGGCGTTGAAAGTAAAGTACATACAATAATACGTTTTAATGTTAAATGCTTAGCAACTAATAGTATATATAGATTAAAAAAATGTTATAGTTTATGATTTATCGGAAAGAGTAAAATGATTGTCCTTTGCTGAGGTCTAGAGTTCATTGATGACGGATTTGATACAGCAATGACTTGAGTAATTTCGTTGATATCATGTTATATCTACCGTAATTTTTATGTCATGCCGTGATCTTAGCTATGATATGCCGCATGCAATACAAAAGTGTACCTCTGTTATGACTTTCAGTTTTGTAAACCAAAATATCTCCACGTACCGGTAGTAATGTGCGTATCTATTTTTTTACCTTGATGAAAATATGATATAGTATTGTATATTGGACGAAGATTTTATATTCAATCGCTTACTTATTATCCACATAAGCTGATTCATACGTAGCTAATTTTATTTCATACTATCTTTTCCTATGGGATCAATTGAAGGATTTGAATCTAAATTATGTGCATATAATCACTCATTCCATGTCTTGATTATTGTCTGTTCAATCTACATAGCCTCTGGATCAGTTACGAAGTCGTGTACTGTTGGCGTACTCAAAAATACCGAATGTTAGATTGTAAATAATATTTGCTTCAATTCAGCCTTCAACGCTGTACCGTCTATTACGTGGTGAACAACAGTAAATAATAATTATAATATTATAATTGGCAGTTTTTAACAGAATTGCTGAACAATCAAAGCTTCAATATACTTACAGTATAGTGTAGTGTACTGTATATTATGATACCAAACAAGCCCACATCAATCAAATGCAATTCGTAATAAAGCATATACTGTACAATGCTCTATTCGTGCTGACACTAAATGATTGCTCTAAACAACGATTGAGTTTGCCAGAAAGGAAGCTTCGATAAAAGTGGACAATTATGAATTCCAACGAAGGCGTACAAGATGTAACTAAGCTTACTCTTGCGTCAATGGTAACCCGTAGCCACTCAGATTCATCCACATCGAACTGCAAAGTATATAATATCGACCATGGAATTGATCGTCTTGTTGTCAATTTCTGCCAAAATGCCCCAACTGAAACGAAGAGCAAGTAAGTTATTCCGCGACTTTCTTTACAGTCTTACGCTATAGTTAAGTATTTGTCAATTACGCGTATATAAACAAGGTACAGAGGCACGATTGCATGTTCGTATGCTTAAAATTGCATTACAGCAATATTCATGATGGGTATCTTGATAACTAGATCGTTTATACGGATATATAGTTCATATTGTTTGAAAAATGTCATATAATCTGTGTGTAATGATGTGTTAAATTACTATATTTAGGTTACCTGGTAACTCCTGTTCTGAAAGCGATAGTAGTAACAAGACATCCTGTAGATGGTTTGGATGCAATAATAGCTTTGAGTCAACAGAAGAACTAAGAGATCATCTTCAAAAAATTCATATAGATACTCATGATGTGGAAGCAAAATATGCTTGCCTCTGGCAAGGTTGCAAGGTGTACAACAAGCCCAGTGTATCACGTAATTGGCTGGTTCAGCATGTTTGTAAACATACCGGCGATAGGCTTATTAAATGCTTAATTGATGGATGTAATATGACTTTTGCTACTCAAAATGGGTTAGCTAGGCATGTACCGTCTCACTTTAGTAACAAACACCAATCTGGTTCTAAAAAATCAAATACCAATGATCAGGCGCTGTCTCAAATAACAAATCATCAAACGACTTCAATGACCAAGGCTAACCATGATCTTTCTTACGGTCTAACAAGTGGCCATAGAAATCGCCTGAAAAGAAGACGATTGCATGCACTGGGAGTGCCTCAGAGCTCCCCCGTTCAAATGTCAGATGGTATGGTAACATCAATTGTGGATAATCATGATTGACTGTTACTGTAATTGAGAACCGCTAATCAATGATTAAAATATCAATGTTATAGATCCTTTCGATGATAAGGTTATGCAAGTCCTTAAACAAAGAATATATCACGCTGCCGAAAATGTCGGATTAATGCTGACAAATAAAATTACTTTTCGAAGCCAGGTAGAGTATTTATAAGACTACGCTTTAATTCAAAAGCTTTTTTATCATTTCTAGTAGTGTTTACTTCTTGTAATACGAGTAAAATGTTATAGGTTATCGCAAGGCGGTATCTTGAGGGTGATTCTGCTGTAGCCTGTGGGACGCGATGCCAACTATTACTCCGTTGGTGGCCAACAAATATGTGAGTCTAATTCATATGAGTGTAATCAAGTTATTTTTTTGATGAGTGATAATATATGGAGTTATTACATACTTTTATGAAGCACAATTGATAGTTTGATCATCACCTGTGATGGGATAAAAACATGAAATCTTATAGTATTTTACTCAAGCCTTAATTTGTGTTGTGTGTAGGTTAGAAGATGAGTGGATTCATGAAAGTGATTTGCAAAAGTACGAAACCATCTCAATTTCTACCCGGAATTTACCATTAAATGGACGTCTTCGTTTTGGTGATTTCTACTGTAAATTTAGGTCCAGAAAGGAATAATTAATGTTGATAACTTACAATAATTCAATATGTCCAAAATTTACCTAACTGCCAAAGATTATCGAGTTCACAATGGATATATAAAATCCAGCTGATGTAAAATACTATTAATAAATCACAGCGTATAACAAAACTTACTTTACTAGGGTATTAAGAGATATTATTAAAGCTCCAGTAAGATGTATTATTGTATTTAAGTACATTTAGAAAAGCATAAGTTTGTTTTACTTATGAGCAAGATTAACTTATTCGTTGCAACTATTAAGTTTTTAATTCTTTGGTTATGCTGCGAAGAGTACTGTAATTTATTTTGAGGTCAGATTGATGTAGCGCTACAAATTTTTTTTAATAGAATGAAGTTTGGTATCTACAAAAAGCATTAGTGCATATCTTGATGTGGATACTAACATCAGATGGAAGCGTATAGTTTCTATTTTATCTAACACTATGACCATAAAGCTGAGCTGATATCACACTTGTATAGATTATGGTCGAAACTAAAATATTTCATTGTAATTTATATGAACTTACTAACGAAAGTTAGATTATTGTACTGAAAATTAAAAATGTGTTCTTGGACAAGTAGAGTTACAGATTATATCGTAATCGGAACATGAAAGTACTGTTTGTTATCAAGACAAGAAATTGCTTCTCTAATATGAATTTAGTAACCATACGATAATCAAAACTTTTTCTGATTAACTATATTGTTAATATATTCTGTATACTGCACCGATGGCTGAACTATAAGCATGCATCAGAGACATTTTCTTCTACGTTAAGTTTTAGTAAAAAATATTAATCTATTCGGTTAAAATGCGTAGAGCTCAATACGTTGTGTTTTCTCATGTTTCTCACTGAGTTTCACGGAAATAAACTTTTGTTTATAGTCGGCTCGCGTTGGTATTAGACATGTTCTTTGCCAGGATGCTAGCTTGAAAAGTTTTATCATTGCGTCTACTGCATGATGCTATAACTTATGATGCAATTGCTTCATTTGACAACTACTTTTAATGTAATGCACTTATACAGTCAATAGACTATCATACCTTGAGTTCAAATTTGGGGTATTGAAGTTCCACTCTTAAAGCCATTATTACATTTGTAAACTGTAGGAATATGTACAGGTCAACATTGTTGATATTTATGAAGTTTCATACTGCTATAGTCTATTTATAGAATATGCCACATAATACCAACTAAGGCGGAGTCAAAACAAATGTATAATTAATTTTCAGAATATACTATATTATCAGCTATCTTAATCTTAATAACGGCAAGGAATTTACATACTGCGCAATGAGTTGCTTACGTATTTAGGTCTTGGGTAATCACTGATACGTAATCAAGCACCACTATGAATTACTAATAGAGACCAGCAAGTAGAATACAGTTGTAGTTATAACTCATCTTCCTACTATTATATTTTGCGTAAAAGAAATAATAGATAATATCCTGCAGATACACAGATCAAATAGCCAATCCGAAAAATGTACTAGGTTATAATATTTGTGACTTCCCTTGCGAAAAATGATGATCGAATAAGGTTTATGTTTATGGTAAGAGCGATTATAGACTGGTCTATAGTCCTAAGGGCCGTAGTCGCTAACTAGTATAACATCCATTACTCAATTTGCATGTACTATCTATAGCAAGAACAGGTCGAGATCGGTTAGTTACTTTTATTTTTGGTAATACGAGTCTTGCTCCAATAATTCGAGTAGCATTGCATCTGATGAGATTCAATATAAGTTATGTATTTGTATTTTACATTACGAAATTAGACTGTAAATTTTTGATCTTCATATAAACGGTTTCAACAATTTTGTAAATTACTAAAATATGGAATTTAGAATTTACAAACGGTACCAGTAGTATAATTCAATATGCAAATAAGAGCATGATAAAATTTTTGCTCATTAGCTATTACTCCGTTATAGAAATAAAAGTTCACTATATTAGATAAAAAATTGGTTAGCCTGCTAATTAAGCTTCACTGGCTTCGTTGTTTTTACTTCTAGGTGATGGAAATATTTTAGGAAATCGAAATATTCCATTAGCCTATTTAAGAGATTAAGGTTGAAAGGTTTTAGTCAATCATTGTTAGAAAAAGTGTAAGGAGCATTTAAAATCGTCAGTGATAACATATCCTATGCTGCATAGAAACGAAACTATAACTTATACTCAATGCAGGATTCATTGTTAAAATTAATAGGCTTACCAAGATGACATAAGCTTTCTTGTAATCAGGTTCTTTATCATAAACGCCTCGAATGTAGGCGTATTTCTTCCTTTTTCCTGCGTGATTGAACATTAGATCATACTTTTACAAATTCTATGGCATAAGTATAAATACTAATCTAGCAATCTTGTTCATGATTTAATTATAGCTTGATTTTAATAACTTAACTATACCATTTAGAGTGACCGCAATAAAGACAATAGTTCGAAATGGGCTTAATATTGCATTAGTAATCTCGTTCTTACCTTGAGTAATAGTGGTGTTAACTTTGAAAACTTCGACATTGTAGATCTTTTGTAGGTAATTCTTGATGTCAAATTTAGTCATTCTGGATAGGATATATTTTAAATTTTAGTGTTAGTATCTTCAATGAAATCAATGTTGAGTTATCTGATAGTGATTACGACTCACGCTTCTACCAATTTTAAAGACTTCACTAAGCTACTAATCCTATACAACTGTACAGTACTAGGATGCGGTATATTCAATTGAATTGAATTTTGGTGTTAGTATCTTCAATAAAGTCAATATAAGCGAATAAGTGTATAGTTATCTAACAGGGATTACAATTCATGCTCATATTGGTTGTAAAATAGTTTAAGTGGCAAATCCTTTCATTGTGACGTATTTCCTATATCAACGTAATTATGGTTCTACGCGAAATACTCGTAATTTAATACTTTATTCCATTTCTAAAATCGTATCAATCAACTAAGACGATTATCTGCTTTTGTGGAGAATAATATCGATATCGTGATAAGTGTAGTGCTAGCAGTAGTAAGTTAAGAAATGTTTGGCGCGGAAGATGCCATGTAATAGAATATCTATGATTCCAAAGATTCTACAATAACACTGTACAATCAATTTTAATCAGTAGAAGAATATCGATGCATTTCTGTTAGGCATAGTTAACATTCGAATCGAAGTAGTAGATGCATGTAAAAGTGCTGGTAGGTAATATCGTCAAGGCTTAACAACAAATGTATATCCAATGAACTCAATGAGTCAGGTAAATGAGCTATTAATCTCCTAACAGTTGTATATACAGTAAAGTATATTATTGATTCCATTTCTATACTCTGTCATATCAAGAGCGATAACATTGCTTCAAAGTCTGCCACAAGGAACGTGTGCGACGATCTCTCACTTGATCAAATTCGAAGAACTATTCATCTTCTTACATACAAGGTACTGCAAACGATTATTCATTGTAATGCTAAACTACTGTCAGATTGGGAGAGCATCAAGATTGCTTCCAATTGCGCCATATTATATAGCTACTTACACAAGAGGAACACGAAATACGGCAGTATTGCTAGGCACAGGCTTGCCTGGCCTAATTAATGTCATTTGCCAGTCGCATAAGAATATTCGTTTTTGAGATGGTATTTTTCTACCGCCAACTTTAGCGATAGCCTTACCAGCTTTAGCTATATGTTGTGCAACTGCCATAGTAATAACTTGTTCACAAGGTTATAGGTCTAACGAAAGTAGCTTATGCCAGCAGGCTCAAATGATCAGGGCTGCAGCTCGCTCGTGGCTTTGCTTTTGGCTTTAAAAGTGGTTTACCAGCGGTCCTACGACTACAGTATTCTCTGTCACTACAGTCTACAGTGTAACAACATAGTACTGTAAAAACCGGTACTGTACACTGAAGAAGAGCCAAACTGGTCCGTACTGTCAGTAATCTCCGACAGTACATGCTGCACTGTGGTGTGCAAAATGATGTGTCACACCGTGTATCTGTCCTCCATCTAATCCAGCATACGGAGGCATAATGCATGATCCACTGTACCGCACATCATGCTGCTGAAAAAACGAATCAGGGGTGACAGCTGTTATTGTACACTTAAAATATGGCGAGAACTTGAAAAGTCAGGCCGAGTTTTAGAAACATTCTTGTTATAAACCCATACAAGATGCATATAAATTTTTCTATAATATTAATTAACCTTGATACTCAGACATATCTTCCACTCAGTGTAAATTGTGCTAAGTAGAATTCATGCCACACATCCAACTGGTTTAGACTCAATGGATAGTGGCTTGATTGAGCAATGGAGTAATGTTCGAGAAGAGCATTTGAGAATAAATTCAGTAGCGATGTGCATCAAGGAAGTAAACCGCCGTGTACGCGTAGATACTTGCGTCATCGGATAGACTTTCATTTCAATTGACAATTACTGTACATCAGTGTTTTGCAACTTCCTTCTTATTCACTCCGAAATCCCAAGCGAATGCAGTGTACAGTATGGCAGGTGTTCCCATAACCAATGAAATTACAGTATATATTTATAATACTTACTTGAAATGGTAATCATATACAGTATTTAAAACTCGAGTACAATTACTACTGTATTTGTAATTGCACGAAATACTTGCATACGATCATAATTATAAATTATTTATTTATGATAGACTACAAGAATATCGGTTTAGTCGCTGGAAAAAGTAATAGGAACTGTTAAGTATCAGTGAAACGCAAACGTACAGTAATGTACTGCAAAATCAGAACCTGTTGCATATCCGATTCGACTTTGCAAATATAATTCATCCCCTGGACAACAGATGTAAACTGTAAACTAGTATATCAGCAATGGATGAAAACTTAATTCATAAGATAGGATACGACACGTATCTGCAGTCTTATGATATTTGTCTCATATGAGATGTCCTGACGTTTTAAGATCCATGTAAGCTAATCTGAGAAAGTATTGTTAATAATTATAGTTTAGTAAATAAAAGCTACTTAGCTTAGGTGTCCTATTCAAGGCTATACAATATTTCGTGGGGTTGCAATTCTTCAACGGTCTTGTGATAAACTACAAATTTTAGTTTTATTGAGTCTAATAATTTTTTAATCAAAAAGCACATTATTTGGCACCTGAAATAATTCTTGTTATACAACTGAAAGTCATAGTACAATAAGTATCTAATTTGTAATTAGATGAGTAGTTTGAAAAATAAAAATTTTGACTACTATCAAGTCTCTTTTATTCAGAAATGTTCTACCTAGGTCTTAATTGAGGTACCGCAGTTGAAATGGATCATTTTAGTTATAGAGTACAATATATTGTGGCTTAATTTCGATGTTGACAACACAACAACAGTATATTTTTTTAAATTCTTAATTCTTTTGATAATAATTTCCCAACTATTTAGGATACTATTTGCTTTCATCATAGACGATAAGTTGATAAAGAAAATCTTAAATGTTCTACATAACACTTAGTAATCGTTTACTATAGCTTCGAAAACGTAAGTCAATGTAGTAATACTTCAGTCGGTTTAAATTCTATACCATAACGCTTTAGATTACCAGTTCGTGGATTATACAACTCTTCTAAAGCAGTCAGTGATGTTGAGTACTTAGAGTTAGAGCAGTATAAGATGAACTCTATTTGCAAGCATCGATTACAATGTGCTTATAATATAAAACTTTTCTTAACAGGTGACGCCAATTCGTAAAAATTGGAAATCATACATCATTCTTACATCTCTATTTTTCAAAGCTATAGAATTTCAATAATTCACTTTAAAGTATAAAAATTACATTTCTATAAATTTTTTCCGCAGTTGTACGAGGACAATATTTTATCGCAAATCAGAGTCTGACTAGAACTGATATTCACTATTGACTCATATTTGAACGCTAATTTAAGTATAATCAAAATTATGAAAGGATTTGCTAATTACCAATTACCAACGAACATTGCAAAAGAGCTGACGTCCTCAGTGGGGTTATGACTGTGCATTCGATGAATTTTCATTATTATTCATTTGACGTTGGACTTGACGTCGCTTATAGTACATTCCAAAAGCATCTCTAATAATTACGATCATAGTTAGTAGTATTCGCTGTGTTACAAACGTCTTGTTTCTTACTTTTATTACAGAGCTATGTCAGATGCGATCTTTCTGAAGAAAGTAAGTGGATACTACGTGTAGAAATGTAACTTATCGAAAATAATTACCCAATAGCTCTCGCGATAGGAACTGCCGATAAATCACTTTGAAATATGTGGCATTGGTAACTATTTGGCATTTCTTTGGTGATGAACCCAAGTATTCTATTAATAAAAAAAAGTAGCTGTTTATAATCGCAAGAAGGCGAATTTAAACTTGCATTAAAGCTATATGAAGTATTCCGTGGAACAATCGGGCCTAAGGTAGCAACTGGTCAGGTTTATAGGGGCGGAGTTTTTGATTTACTATGATATAAATTAATAAATCACTTGTCATTGTTAGGATGGCATCCAGCGAAAGTTACTTTATCTAAATGGTAAAGGTTTTGCTTTTGATTCTAAATCAACCACGGAAAAATTTTGTTGTTAGATTGATCTGATTATTAAGTAGTTGAAATAATACGAACTCTAATCGTGCTATGTGATTCTTTCAATTACCTTTTTAGTAGATGTGTAGCTTTGTGCATTTCTTTTAGCTGAACTTTCTGCAACTTTTATTCCATGTTCTGATATTTCCATACTGTAGATTGGCAGGCCCGATAAACTGTATCGGCGTCCAGTTTGGATCTGTATTGATCATTAAATCAAGGTAAGCTTAAGTATATGGGGGGTACTCTGAGTTCTAAAGTAATAAGTAAATGGGAAAATTAACGATATGCCACTATATTTTAAAGTTACAATGGCTTATTGATTTAGAAAAATTTGTCTTTTCAAACGTTCCTTAGTATACGTTTACAAACATACTTGCTGTGTACAGTTCTTTATAACATCGATACCTTTGTATTCTCGCGTTACAACTGATCCTAGGTATCTAAGATTGCCAACAATAGCCCAAAAATTTGGTTCAATTAATTCTGTAAGCATTTATATAATGAAATAATGTACAGTATATACCTTATACAATTATTGATTCTTTTTTTATTGTTGTCTAATTTAAAAGAGAGGACATCAACATAAACTCTTTAATCAACAGCTTGCAGAATATCCTTTACGATTATATTAAAATAGAATTTGAATAATATGTTGATGTTTCTGCGGCTTAAACCCGAACAATATGTAGTAGTAAGGATAATTCGAAAAACACAAACTTCGGTTTCAGCTAACTGATTGGGCATATTTTTACTTGATTTTAATTTTACTAGTTAGTTACGAAAATAACGTATAGCATTTAAATGAGTATAATTACCAACGACGACACAGCAAACCGGGAAAATTCCTTTCTTGTTAGTTCTGATATTCTTGCCTCGGCACCACAGGTCCGGATAGTCTTCGATAATTTCTATATTATCGCCAATATCTAATAAAATTTCGTCTTCGTGACGCGGTATAAACTTGTGTGTCACTTTTGCCAGCTTTTGCTCTTGTGCTCCATTTGGTGAGAAGGTATTGCTAGGTGTATTAGCATTGACGGTTGACTTTGTTTCGGATATAAAACCAGATTTTGCTAAATTGGCGATGATTTCCTGTGGATTTACTGCTGTCGAGCTATCGCCGTTGGTCGATGCTTGAACTGCAGGATTTTGATTGTCAATCCGTTCTTTCGCTGTAACAATGATATTAGGATCATTTAAGGTCGTGGATTGGACAAGAAAACTATTAAAGGAAGGTTGCGGTGGCAGTTGACTATTGCCAGCGAGACTTGAATCAAAATTAATGTTTGTAGACTGCTGTTGATTAGAAGTAACATGTCTTGTAATAGGAGCCGAATTGGAAGGTAAGAATTGATCATTCAAACTATTCGAACCAAAAGCGTCTTTAGTATTTCCAATGCCGAAAGCATTGCTAGATGTTGCATTAGCTGTTACGAAAGTATTGACGGCAGAGTTTTTTTCGAAATGATCATTGGTATTTTTAGAATTGTCGCCAGATTTAGCAAGTATAAAGGGATTATCATTGGTGGCTTGAGCAGCAGCAGATGGGCCGTTGTTATTAGTACTAGTAGGCGCGAAAGTATCAATAATGTCCGTAGTATTGGAGCTAGATACACTGGCTTTATTGGGTGTAGATCGGTCATCGTTGCTGAATCTAGGAAAATTAAATAAATCGCTATTGGCAGGCATTGTTTTCGCGTGGGGCCTTGCGCGAACGGTGGATTTCGTAGCAGAGGTCTGATGATTTTGTTGGTTTGCCGTTTGCAATGGTTGAGGCTTTTGTGCTTGGGAATCAAACATATCGAACGATGCTGGCTTTGAGGTGGTCTGTAAATCTCGACTTTGCCCTTAAAGTACACAATATATTATCAATATGGGCTCTAAATGTAGGAAAAATTTAGCAAATAACAACTTTGTGATTACAGTTGATTAAATGTACGAATAGAATATTGATTGTATCTTGACCGGATAATGCAAAGTGCAAGATTATTTATAAGGGTCAGGACTTAAACGAATGATGAGAAATACGTCACAATCCCATTATACTACACTGAATTTCAGTAAACGTTTAGATATTACTGGATTATTGTCCTAATCGTACGTTGCACTAAAGATGATTGTTATAATTAATTAATTGTTTACCAAATTCTGCAATGATAGGGAATTGTACAGGGTACACTAAATTTGATAATAGTCTTAATTAATTAATTAGTTACAGAATACGGAGATAAATACGTGGATATTTATTTATTATTTCTAGTTCTTTAGTGTTAGTACTGACTAATATATTGCTTTAGTGCGGAAAAATAACTTTACTACTTCAAACGATTAAGTGGTACAGTGTTAAAAATTAAGGTGGAAGAATTTCTATTGAACAGCTTGAAGTAAAAGTACTATAAGGCATGAGGATTTTCATGTTATTACCATGGTATCCTCTGTTATTAATTACAGTTTGTACCTCGAGAGAACTCGAAGGTATCCTGTAGATAAAATTATTGTCCAACAGACTAGAAAAGATTGAAGATTTTAGAACTACCCGTAAATGGAATTTATCAAGTACAATAAATTGATTGTTATCGGCATGAAAAGTAATCTACTAGACTATTTTAGGAAAGGGGACGGGGCTGGATTGCGCATATGCATCTTGCTTTGGTTTTAATGAACTGCACCTTTCGTCGACATTACTTCTCTTGATGTAACTTATTCCATTTTTCCAGCACGATATGCAGTAAATTGAGGATTCCTACTATTATCTCGCTCATACTAATAGTTCATTTAATTGTACCTTTCAAGTGTACAGTATATGAGTACAGTATATTGAATAAGGAATAGCAGGTGTTAACAAATTAATATTATTAGTAGTATGTATGATTATTGACGCATATTGTACTATATCCTGTTTCAAGCTATTCACTGAGCTGCTCAATAATTACATTGGTCGAGCATTGGAATCCTTGCAGATTAGAGTCTGTTTTCACCGCTTTAATCGTTCATTGGCTATCATAATATAATATACTAGTATAACTTTGGATTAATTTACTGATCGTGGCAAAACGGTTATTGCAGTGGCAATTCGTGGCGATAGCAACTGACAGTTGATCGTTGTTGCAGAGTAAATTTGTAATAAATAATAAATGGGCTACATAGTGTCTAGGTATACCTGTTGCAGGATCACTACTACCACCGTTGATGGTTGATAGAGGGTCAAATTCCATCTTGGATGTTGTTCGTTATTTCTTTCCTTTTCTTAAAGTTTCCTTTTAAGCTTAGATAGTTATAATTAGGTAAAAAAAAAGGCGTAGCTCAGGCACTCTAAATTCACTCACTCTCGTTGCGTATCACGTAGACAGGTACTGTATCATATTGATACTGCAGCTGCGTAAACTAGAGATCCTACGGTCTCTAGGGTCTGTAGTCTAAACTATCAACATTAGTTTACTATCGCTCCTGACATTAATATCCTATTTAGGTGTTACCCTAATATAACGATATGTACTGTACGCATGTGGTCTCTCCTAGACTGCTGTCTGTATTCTTGTATAATATACTAACTAATGCAACACTACATAATTCCAGTACTTAAAAAACCGCTTTTTTACCTCGTATCACAGGTGTTAATAAATAGCACATTGAGCTAGTAAAACTCTGAACCGATATCTGGTCAAAATATCATTTTACGACATTAGGACCCTATAATACGATCATTTCTATTGTACACACGCATAACTCAGCCTGATTTACTACTGTATACAGTCTATATGTACCAAGGAGATCTTCATTCCTTTTTTTTTTTTTCAGTTTGTACTTTTTACTTGATATTATTATCACATCAGACATGTAAGTATAGTGTACATTAAAACGCGTACACTCACGGACCACTCGTTACTGAGTCACATTCATACAGTATACGGGTAGACAGTGTTGTACTGTTCCGCGTTGAATGTTCATATGTACAAGTACTTAGTAGCCATGACTATTACAACCATAAGCTCGATTTCGGAGTGAATAAGAAGGAAGTTACAAAATACGGATAGCTACAACTGAGTACTATATTATATTGAATAATATTGTACTTCGGAAAGGCCCGTTACGTAGCCGACAAGCGATAGCATTGTTAGATAATTTATTAATATTAGGGTAATGAGATAATAATACATCAATTATTTTATATCAAAATGGAGCGTACTGACAAAACACTTTTCAATTTATTAGCCTAATGGACTATTAATATACTATGTATTTCCATTTAAAAGTAAATTGTTAACATTACTAAATTACTGTCTCATGATGCAACAAATTACGTGCGTGTTATTTGTTCTGCGCTGACTAAATTTGTTTAATTATTAGACAGAGAAGGAATGAAGTAGATGCAATAGATGACGACACTTGATCATCGTGCAGAATATTAGTTGTAAAGAGCCTATAAACCCGAAATATTTGCACATTATAACATCAACTATTGCTATGAAATCAATCGAAACTGATTCTGTGACAACATCGAACGGGATAGCGATGATAATTATCACGATTTTCCAGAACGTAAATTCTGGAGGTCTATTCATTCCCGCTAGGAGCTATGATAAGTGATGGCTGTCTGATACCTGTAATATAATAACTTCTACAAGAGAATTAAGTTCAGTCTACGATTCAGTACATTTGACTAGATTCGCTTTATAAAGAAAACGCTGACAATTGTCTAGCAACAAGTTTCGCATGATGTGCACTGTAATATCAATCCGTCTATTCTCATATTGTGTACGATGAGAGAGAATAGTCTATTCAATAAACTTAACTTGTACCTCCTCTGCAGTATTAACAATTACTGTGTATACTGTAGCTACTGGGCTTTTGTATAGGTTGGTATTGTATCTTTGCCATAAACATTTTAATTAGGTTGCATCTTGGAAGACAAATACATACCGGTCCACCCGCAAAATTTCTATATACTGTATGCTTAAGAGTTATTCAAATTATAGTTAATACGTACAATATCACAGAATTGTACCATTACAGTTTTGCGAAACACTTCCATATTCAACATAGACTGCGTTAACGACTAGCTAATCGATTTGTGCAACCCGACAAGGTAAATTTGATGACGCTTTGAACGAAAATTTTGTATAGAAGTAATTTGAAAAACTAAAACGTGGACAATTTCACATTATTTAATTATCTTAAGTGTAAATCGGTTTATTATGCTATTAAAGCTGTGCTTGTGGTTTTACGGTACCACATTGTTGTATTGTATAGAGCATATTAAAGTTATATATAAAATACATATAACTCGTTATACAGTAGTACAGTCGATAAAGTATATCTCTCGTCGATGAAATAGTTTGATAAGATACGCAATCTAGATGTGATGGTGGTATGCAAACGACGCTCGTAATCATCTTAATTATAAAAAATAGCCATTAGATAAGTCTAACAGTAACCTACGCTTCCATATCATATGTAGTATAAAGTAAAAACCAGTATTCTTCGTACAATTAGCCGTAGCAAACGTTACAACTTGCTTTAACATAAAAGCGATCTACGTACGTACGAAAGTATTTCACGAACTGTTAAACTGATAACTGTTGTACATTATAGCAAATGTTAAGAATTGCACTAATCCATTTGGCGTACGTACGGAAGTAGAATAAAGGTTCTTTTTAACGGCCAGTTTGATCAATATAATCATTGCGATGATTACTTAGTGACTTGGAGTACACTAAAGTAAACGTTATGTACTTTTATCAGTATGTATTGCAAACAGTAGGGCAGATCAGATTACACGTGATGACCCTTATACATATAATCTATTCATCGTGAATTCATAAATAATTTTTACTGTACGAGTATATTAGCGTAGGCTATTCAGACTGCAAGGGTATAAAATAGATTGACGATATTGCTTGTTACACCAACATTATAGGCGAAAACATTATGAGTGTTGTAGATTATCTTCGAACTAAAATCTTGGTCTACTGGTGGCAATTAATCCTCTTTGTCGTTAGTGCCAACTTAGCCGGCGTTATACCAGCACTTTTTAGTGATGTTGGTCGAGGGGGTTGGTATGGACAACTGAAGAAACCAGGGTTCACTCCTCCGAACGCAGCATTTACACCAGTATGGACTTACTTATATTGTACGATGGGGCTTGCAGCTTTCTTAGTTTGGCGTGATGGAGATGGATTTACGGGGAAAGCAGGATTAAGTTTAAGGGTGTACTTCTTTAATTTGCTCTTAAATTTGACGTGGACTCCGGTATTTTTTAATGGCAGATCTCTGGAAGGAGTAAGAATAAATTAATTTTCGCTATAGAAAATTACGCTTTTATTGTCTAAACCTACAACAACGTTCATAGTGCAGTGATATAATACATTAGCTTTGCTATGATATAATTATTATTGTTGCTGAAAGAATCGTTTCGCATCAGTTTATCATTATAATATCAGTAGAAAAAATTAAGCATCTTTGCCCTAGAGGTAGGTAGCATGCTTATGACCAATTTTTTTGCGATTTTTTTTAGGGTGCAATCATAATAATAATGCTTGTGGCCGTTGTTATTACTCTCATGTTCTTGTTTTGGAAGTTCAATCGACTCTCTTCATTGCTTCTATTCCCTTACTTGATATGGTTATCAATTGCAACATCGTTAAATTTTACTCTCTATGCAATGAATAGGTACGATGAGTTCTAATTTTTAATAGGATGCTTCTACATTACTTGGTCCTTTTCCGTACCTGAAGACTGCACAAGGCAAATTTTTAACGTATGCTGTATAGTAATACGCTTATGGTAATATTTAGTACTAATAAATGGTAGAAGTTTTTTTATGATTTCAAATGTTCGGTTTCATCGCTATAAGTAGATTATAAAATGTAGCATGCTACTATCGTTCCTAATTGTCGAATTACCTGCTTAGTATAAATTCGTAAGTGGCTATAGGCTGATCTGTTTTGTAAAAACGGCTACTGCCGTACTGTACGCTTTTGTTTCGTATTACGATTCTGTAGGTTTAATACTATCATGCGTCTAAGGTTTGCTACACTATGCTGAGGATATTTCACAATTATTGACGTCTTGAAATCGTTAAAATAAACATGTTGAAGATAACCGAATTTTAATTCACTGATCGTACTTGAATCACATTTCATATAAACTGATCTGGTATTATTGATTCACAATTTGAAAAATACTGCGTGATTCATTAAAAGTGCAAGTGCAATAAAACTTAGTAGGGATTACTATAAGGGAGATACATCCATTCGCTTCCTATCTACTTAAGCTAACGCATGCAATAGCTAAGTAGGGAACTAAATACGCGTAAAATACATCTCAGACGATTCGGTACCGCAACATGTTGTTCAAAATGTACATCCGCTGATTAGGAGTGATTATATGAGACGTAGTCCTTAACAGTAGGTAGTACTTACTGTACGATGGTATAACCCGTGACCTTTTATTCTGAAAAGGTCAATTTGTAATACAGTAGATGACGCTAAGCAGAATAAGATGTAATTTAATTTATAGCGTTCTTCAAATGTTTACTTAGACGTCATACTAATCAATGTCAATATTCATACCGAATTGCATTTGGTTTAGTCCTAGCTTGACAAACAGAGGTATGTGGTAAGTGTATATATATATAGGTTCTGGGTAGAATTCTGATCTCTGCAAGCCCTATAATTTCTTAAAACCATCGATCGTAGCCTTTTCTTTGAGTACAGCTCCGCAGTTCTCACTGTAGTTCTATAAGATTACCAGAAAATGCTTCTTGTGATTTGTTGGGCTAATTAATGATACCACAATAGCAGCCCGACTAGTTGTAAACGTATGCTCGGAATATTGCATTAACAATAGTTATAATTATCAGTCAAGTTAATATATGAACCGTGAGGCTATATAGCATTCATCAGCTTAGACTATTAGCGATTGCATGTCTCGACGATCTATACTCAATGCTGCACGATGTTATAACATTGATTATACATTACCCACAGGGTTAAAAATTATTATTAAAAATAGCAAAGCGCAACAATCATGAACGGAAATGCAAAATTTTATTACCTATACAGTTCAAGTCTTATGATAACTGATAAATTCATAGTACTTAATAGAATATGATATCGCTAAAGCTTGGCTAATTTTGATAAAATTTATACTTTATATCTTCATATAGTGTGCACAAGCTATTGAGTTTAACGCAACAGAAATAGATGTAAACACCACACCGACATTTACAGATAATAAATATAATCATATAATTGAATAGTTTTAAACTACAATGGTGAAATTATTTAGACTTTGACATCGGGTGCGTTACATTGATCCACGAATTGTTAAGCCAGAAGTCAAAAAAGAATCTTCAATGCCTCTAATGATTTTATTGTTAAAGACATGGTTAAAGATTACATGTTCAAGGATTTGTAGTCTGTAGTCATTCTATTTCTTCCCCTTTAGAGTTATGCCACCAAACGGCGATATTAAAGATAGCTTTATAGGATAGCCATGCAAGATACGGAATGGTTAATCGTCCAGCTGTGATACTGATCGGATAGAAACGACGGACACATTGGATAGCGCAACCCCAAGTGGCTAGTGCACCAACTGTAGCCTTTAATTTAAAACAGCATAGAATTAAAATTATGCACATAAAAGAGTAAGAGAATTATGCTACATTTTGCAATAGTGTCCAGTACACTCTCTGGTGTAGTCTGTCTAGTACAGTAGGGTTCTAAAAGGTGCGATGAGTACGGGTTGGACTTGAAAGGTTACGGAGTAAAAAATTCCGGAAAAATAAACAGGAATACGTACGTACTTTATGGTAGAGATTTATTGCTACTATGGTCTAATAGTTTCGCAATGAAATGTATACAGTACAGTTTTCAGGCCAAAGATATTTTGTAGACAGGATCATACTCTACTCTACATTCCTGAGTATCTTTGGTAAATATCATAAAGCCCTTTGCTTTAATTCAATTAGTAATAATAATGAGTACATTAACTGTCAAGCAGTCCACTGTCGAATTACAGCAGTTACTGTATGATCGTATACATTTGCTGAGCTATAAAACAAATTAAATTATTGCACATTCTATTACTATTAAAATATCCTACTGATGCTTCAATCCTATAGTCTTACAAGTCCTAGATTTTTCGTTTGATAGCAAAGCGGAAGCCAAGTAAAATTGAGTGCCAAAGAAGCTCCGTAAAAAGTCAAAGCAATGGCTGCGCCATCGCCAAAGTTGTCCATGCCCCGCAATACAAGGTAAGACGCATATCCTGTAGCGGAATAGGTTGTTATCTGGAACGGTGAGATTATCCAAGAAGGAGTATTGAACATATGCGGCTTTTTCAAGTTCCTGTACCAAGAATTGTCGATGCTAATAGCAACATGGTTACTCACGTAGCTGCCAATTTGCGGAATTGATATTGCAATTGCAATCTTTGCCCATTCGATCATAGCTACGACCGTAACAAGAACGTTGGATAAACAGTAAGCAAAGAAGATCGTGAAAACGTTAAATCTCCGCCAAGATAGTACTGTAGTATTACTCTACCACTGCACTATTAAACTTTAGTGAGAGATTAATGTATTCCCCTAAAAGACACTAGCTACGTACTTGTGCATCAAGATAAAGAATAGAAGAAAACTCGATCAATGTTCTGTCATCACGGTATTTTTTAATACAGAACCGTACTGTATCGCGCTGTACCGTACGTGAAAACTTCGATGGTGCCACAGTGGCAAGAAACAGGTAAAGATTTTGGTCAAATCGGATCTTTAGCTAGGGTACGCTACCGCTTATCAAGAAACTGAGATTATCAATATCTGTGCAGTATTTTACAACGCAGATAAGAAAGAAATCAGCACATTTTGCAAATAAACACTACAGCTGAAACTTTGTTTCTTGTTTGTGCATTAGCTAGTGGGTACTTTACGAATTATCAGACTTTGCTACCTACATACGAATGACGAATGCCATCGATGGAAATTGGGCTTGCATTTTCTAAAATAAACAGGATTAGATCCAATAATTTATTTTAATTATCCTTCGAAATATTTTTACACAATGTGGAAGAACAAAATGTAAATTGATTACAACGTATCTAATCAAGTTCCTGATAATCCAACGATATATAGTCTTACGTAATGCACGGGTCGGTAACACGCACACCGAAATTGATCCAGCATCTGTGATCTTGCTACGTGCAATCAACATACATTTAAAAATATTTCCTACGAAATTGTAGATATTCAGGACGACACTTCCAGTGTCAGGTATTTACGGTTAAAAATTTCCCCAAATTTAAAATAAAGGATCTCTGATCTATACGTATGTACAAAACTGAACAGACCTGTACTTTTACTGATTTTCTGGAATGAAAAATTTGACATGACAGTATCATAACAAGTTATTACATCGGAGACTCCTGATTTACCTTATGAAGTTATAAGTTGTTGTGGAGGTTTAACCAGAAGCATTTCGCATACTTTTATTTGCTAACTTGCATTAAACTATGGACTTCTAAAATTAATATACAGTACAGTCGATCTCTTTCGCTACTACAACGGAAGAGCTTGGAAATGGTAGTTCAAGTCTGATACTGTACAGTACGATGATTTTTTTAAATAGATTTTAGTTTAACTTGAAATGGAATTTAGAAGATAACTAATAATTTTGGCTTAGACCCCCAAGTTGCAATATTTTTTTGTAGGACGACTATAATAAGATACCTGCAAGTTGTAGGGTCATGTGTGATCTATTTATTGGCTAATATAGTAAGTTGTAAGTATTCGTGAATTCTACGTAAGCGTTTGCTTGTATTATTTGATCTTCAGTACTTTGTAATGAATTTTGATGAGGGTATCTTTAGTATCAAGTGAAATCCATTTTGCCATCCTTCTCTACTCAGTAATCCGAGAGAACATACATTAACCCAGGAACTTCTATAGGAATACTTGCACTACCAGATAGTAACATAGGGTATTTATCACATACTTTTATCTAAATTGATAAGATTATACAGTAATGATTAATTATTATTATCAGCAAGAAATAACTTACAGTATTCTGGATTACATACTGTAGTACAGTAATGTGTAATACAGCATCACAGTGTAACTGTGCTTTAGATTTAGTTTGTTTGCCAATAAAACTTTGGTGATGCTTAGATAAGGCTATGATATCAGGAAAAGGTAAGATAGAGCTTAATATGCAATTATAATAACATTATTTTGTATCGATTTAAGAATACTGTACAAACAGTAAAACCCCGTCTCATGAGCGGCTACAAGCACTTGCTTTTCAAGCAGTATCTGCCATTGTACACTGTACAGCAAGCTCTAATTTATTAGAGTATTACTAGGTAAACATTTAGAATCATCCTTAGGCAAAAGCAGGATTTTCTGCTTGTAATATGTGGTATTATCAGTGAGCGTTATAAAATTATGGAAAAAATTAACTGATCGATTAGATCATTTAGATGAAGGGCTACTATACTGTATACGTAAGGATATTTCAAGACACTGGGTTCATTATGAAATGATTGATAGAAACTCTGTAAACTAACTGGTTACTGTATATTGAAATTCTAGATGTATAATGAATAAGTGAAACAGTAATTAAAGAACATTCCAGAAATTTTTACTATGACTATAACGTAGCTGTATATTTCCAGTGAATGATAAAACAACATTGAAGACTACTTTGTCAAGTAATAAAATTGTAGTTTAACGATTCAAAGGCAAATAGCTGATATGGTAGAATTAATTTAAGGACTACCGGGCACACCTTTCTTCGTTAGCGTTGAACATTTAGTTTTCTACTACCGACTCCAATGTATGGCTTGTAGATCTTCATAGATTCATGGCTATGTGAATGATTTCCTTCATTGAAGGATTAAAGGGGACAGCAGCCTTATTATAAATTGCTAGGATGAATCCTCTTCATTGATATTTCTCATCGCTGAGCTGACTTTACTAAAGGAAATGATAATTTTATTTTGCACACGATACCAATCTATGTAGTGTAAGACTTAATCCGCACTTTTGTTAAAAGATGTACCGTAATATGGAATTTTTTTGCTAGCAATTACAAGATTCAAGTCGGATTACACACCCTTACTCGTATTGATGTAATTACACTAATAACATGCAATGATGGCTTTGGAAATTCTACATTTTACAGATTTCGCGATAATTCGCGCCATAAATACTACCTGAAATCTACTTCGCTAAAAATATAATACTTTTATTGACATGGAGACACATTAGAGCATACTTGCTAATATATTTAATAGCTTTATATATATAATAGTAAAAGCCGACAAGTTGCATTGCTTATAATGTAAAGGCTATAAAATTTTCCGACATCCACGTGTAAGTTTTCAACCTACTAGTAAAGAATTTTACTATAGCGCTACATATCTTTGTAAAAGATTTACACTAATAAATGCATGTATTATACGTGGTTTGTCTTTTGTCGTTAAATTATTTTAACTATATGATAGTAATATCCATTATGACTTGAAAAGATGTAATTAATGCCGGTAATAGCGAACCATTTCTGTCCTATGGACAAGATAAATTGTAGACAGTAACTGCAGCATAATTATTTCTACTTCAATTACAGATCATTCATTGATTAATTTACTACAACTTCTTGAAAATTTTACCGCGCTACCATTCACTAAATTCAAGGAGAGCAACATGTCTTGTACTTCCTTTGAATCTAAGTGATCAAAGTCCAAAATAACTGATAACAAAGTTCAAATTTTGTATTTGCTATCAAAGTCCAATTTCATTCTATTAAGGAAAATAGGCATATTTTGTCTTATACTGACAATAAGACTGTGAAAGTATGGGAATATTAACAAAACGATGAGAATTGTTTCTATTTAACGGAACAAGTATTTGTCTAATTTAATTACGTCAAATATCAACCTGCCACATAGACAGTAAAATTGCGGACAATCAGTGTTTGTAAATAACAATTGCATGCTATTTGTCACATATCCTTTATGATTAAGCTAGCACATGGACGATATCCGATAGTATTTAAGGCGATCATTAACTACTGATGAATTTGCAGATAGTTGTCAGATCAAACTGTGCTTATCAAGTTTGATATTATTGATCATATTTCTCAATCCAATTTTCATTTAATTTTCATTTGCCTATCCAACTCTACATGATGGCGCATACCGGCAGCGATTATTATCAATCAGGTGCGGCCTTCCATGTTCAAACCCATGTAATGCCATCGTTTCCGTTATCATATCAACAGCCGCTGAAGAGTAACGAAAACTGTTATGGCTATTACCACTCAGATATCCAAGATGTCGAGGAATTTAGTGAAAGTACGAGCCGCTCAAGTTCTGCTATGGGTGATCCTTATTGCAGTTCTGGCGCATCAAGTCCAGGAATTTGTACAAATGGCAACTATTACTGCGTCGAGGAACATTCTGTAAGTGGACTATACGAAAATCCTGCGAAAATTGTAAAAACTTTACGAAGAAACGAAAGAGAAAGGAAACGAGTTGAGCGAGTGAATGATGGGTTTGCTCGACTCAGAAAGCATGTGCCTGTGATCGGCAAACGAAGAAAATTATCGAAAGCTCAGACACTACGTATGGCTATCGATTATATCCATCACTTGAAGGATTTACTAGCCGACGATACTGCCACTAATTAAGTTTCTATTATAAATACGGTCGAATATGATTTGACTAGATTTTGAATGTCATTTAAGATAACAAGATTAAATTAAATATTGACCATTACCTAATATTTCTTGCTATTACGATTTAAATAGTATGAAGTTAACAGAAAGTAAAAATAATAACTCTTTGAAACTGGTCATTGACTTTTAATAATCTAATTAATTTGTCATATTCTAGAATTTGAACTTCATTGCTTTTAGATTTACTGCTTATTATAATTTTAGTATTTTTAATCTTAATTAGTAGAGATTTGAAATTCTTTTATTAGAATTATGTAACATATGGTTAATGCTATTATATCTATTGCTGCAGTTATCGCTAGCTAGATAAGCTCGTGTATAATTTCATTTGTTTATCTAAACAATTTTTTGAGTCATCAAATGGCCGTACTTTTGAATTCTTTTTTATCATTTATTATGATGAATAAATAGTATTAAGACAACACAACACTTTGATTGATTTGATGTTTTGATTTCAGATAAGATTTTTACTGCGGACTGGTGTAAAGTAGAATCGAAACTACAAGACGAATAGTTGATGAGTCTAGGAATAAATCAATGATTTCTAAACGAAAGGATCTGACCAATAGTGGATTTAATACCGTACTGATTTCCCAGCAGAATACATCAGTGATCAGATAGTTGAAGCATTCATTCATTTCGCAAATTAGCTAACTTCCACTGGCACGCATCAAAATCATGCGATGGATTTAACAATTTAGGTTAGCCGTCTATGGGAGCATTTTATTGGATATACAGTACTATATATTTCTATAGGTTAACAAGTGAAGTAGGAGTACGTAAAACATGAAATACTTTGGAACATCAGGCATGATTGACATTGATGAATAAATGAATGTCGTCGGTTTAAAATTAAATTATCTAAGCTAAAAATAGGCTAGTCTAGATTCTATCTCGATATATTCTAGGCTGGAGGTGTAGTATGGGCTGTTTAACTGGCATTAAATAACGGTACAAAGATAATTTTATTTTTTATCGATGTGGACTATCATTCCGCGACTGCTATGATATAGTTACGGATAATATCGATCATATTAGATACGATATTATATCAGCTCTTTCCTTCGTTTGCCAAGTAAATATCTTTTGGCTATTTATATGTTCTCCCATAAGGCATAATATTGTGAAATAGTAAGTGGCTGTTTATTCAATTTATTCTTAACTAGCACTTGGGACTAGGTAGGCATAATTGTACAAACGTACAAAAATAGTAAGCATGCTCTCTATTTCTTAATTAACATAATGCCTCGATGGAATTTGTACTAAAACACTATGGTTTTTTGTTATTAACTAATAGAATCCATTCTTAGCACTATTACTACATCTTTTATTGAATTATAGTCCACTTTTAAATACATCAGCAAAATACTATATAATGACAATTAGATCGTATAACTCATCCTAATATGATGGCATTGACTAATTAACCTACGAATGAAACTTGATCACTCTTTTAGTTAACCAAGCAGCTTTCGGAAATAAAATTTTATATTAGTAAGCAACATACCATAGATTTGATCTGATGTAGAAATATTTAAAATGATATTATTGGAGATAAAGATAGCTCGCATCTTCAAATAGAAATTAAAGTAGCTGTAGCCATGTCCTAAACTTGTACTAAAAGCTAATTACAATTTATATAGATAGTATTTTTACACTTTTGGCACCTAATAAGCCATAAAGAAAGAGCGACGATAAAAAATTGTAGACGTAATGTAGCTATTCCCAGTCAAAATGAGCTTGATTCGAGGTTTTATGTACAGTATTTTGTCTCGTGCGCGCGATTCGACACATCTCCTGGGATATTCCTCACTTAAGTGATGAAATGAAATCATTTTCATTATTAATTGTGATATGTAATAGTAGTGTTCCTCCAATAGACTGCATGATAGACATAGTTTCGATTATCTTAACAGATAATTGTAGAAATAATACTGGAATATATTGTTAAATTTTAACTATTTCATATGCGATATTATAATTGATTACGGTATTTGATATTTAAAGGTAATTACTGAGAAGCGATACTGTGTTGGTTATAAATTATTTTTTAAAGCAATACTAATCAGTAGTCAAAAAGTAGAGCTATCGATTGTTATATAATATGTGAATATTTTGAATATACGAACAACTGAATCTTATTACCGTTGTAACACAAAGTACAAAGTTCAAGTGAGCTAACAGTAGTTGTTTTATTATCTTTCAAAATTAATATTCAAAAGTAAATCAAATTGTTATTTAATTTTCACGTGTAATTTTAAGGAATTAATCGAACGTAAATAATGATTTTGTACTACATAATACAATAATATTTCAACTTTACGTGAAATAAAATTTAATTTACAATTAACAAAAGTTCTTTGAAACCAATTGGATATAGATAAAGGTAGCATAGTTCCAATGATTTCTTTCATCAACATTGGTTTAGCAATAAAGGGCAATTATTAGCACACACCTTATGCAAAACAGAATAAAGTAAAGCTCTGCTTTATTTTACTTGATTTGATAAATGTGAAATGCTAAATTTTAAATTAAGTTATTATGATATTCGATTGTTGATTTTTAGGAACCACAGTACAATGACATAATATGATATAGTTTTATCAATCAGTTTGGACGTGCTGCCGGAATAAATTATAAGTATTTCAAAGATAGATTCATTTTAACGACATTCACCGACTATGTGATTAATTAATTATCAATAAAAGATGCCATCTACGAATTGTTTTTGCCAATGATGTACAAAGTTTCCGAAACATTTTTATCTTTTATGGCCTGTCTATTACCTTTTTTCGTAATATTATGCTTCTTATCTCAGCAGATAATCAACAACCATAATGACCGTTAGGACATCGTCTAATTATAACTTTTTATTTCGATTTTTATCTAGTTAGAAGGGATGACGACAAATATCAAACTTTGGACTTTCTCACGGACGATTGTTGATTATAATTAGCTAATTACGTTCCAATTACTGTATTATTGTTATTTATTAAATTTAAGAAAAAATTAAACCAGTGCTGGTATTGATTTCACTGACACTTGAAAACTATGGACGGAATTGATCTAAATGTCTATAGAACTTCCTATTGATCATTTTTGATGAATATAGATGGATGGGCTAAAATTCCAACCAAATATCTATTAAAGTCTTTCGCTACATATTATAGAGGCAACGTGTTTTGATGACTACTGAAACTTGATCAGAAAATATAATCATGATTCACTATTGTTTTGATAGCAGGAATATGTATTGTAGAAAACTATTTATATTCACAAAGCTTTTATTGATTTATTGCGAAGGCATACGAGTAAGAAAATATAATTTTGATTCATTATGCTATGTAACGTGTTTATTTTAACTTTGCGGTGGATATTTTATCATTTTAAGTTGTCTAATATCATTAAAACCATAAGACTGTGTTGATATCCATTTAAGTACAACTCTGTAAATTCAGTAGAAATACATCATTTCTGATTTATTATATTGTATACCTTTATCTATCGTGTCTTCCAACAGATATTTGTGCCATATCCTGATTATTTATTTATCTGTAAAATAAGGTGATTGATTTAGCCGTTTAACTGTACAGTTCTGTAAACATAGGATCATGAGTTACGCATCATCTACGTGACACTAAAATATTGAACTGTGTAATATTCTAATTATAAATTTGTTGTTGAAATATTTTAATTACGTAACGTAAAGACGGAGTAGATTGTATAATTTTCATTCAAGGTGATCTTACAAGAATGTTGTGCTATTCAAATTGATTACTTTGTACTTTGAACTTTGATGTCAAAGTCGAGATAATTCCTTCAATGAATGCGTCATTGCATGACTATCTAGTCAATCTGGTTCCAATTAAAGGAACGACATAGCACGCCGTTATTACGTGGGTACTAATCTATGTAATGGCTACGAAATAACAATGTGTTATTGTCGCTTTGACGATATCGATTACAGATTACTTCCATGTTATTTTGGCCGAGATATACAAGTATATAAGAATAATTGAGACAGAAATCTCAGTCTTTTAGCTCATTATTCTCTCGTGGACTTTGGACCCAAGCAGAAAGGCGAATTAGTATCTTGGTAGGAACTATAAATGAAAGTAAGCTTTAACTTTAGAATTATACTCCAGACAAACAATGATTTCGATTTGGACTTTGATCCTCTTAATTTATCAGAATTTCAATATGATATAGACTAATATTTGCTCACTAATTAATTATTCTTACACATGGATAATCATATTTGATCAGCTAAACTTTCTGATTTCAATATATTTAACTGCATCCTTGAAAGTTTGTTTCCTCAATTTATAAAATCAATTTGATCTTGAATTAAAATCAGCTGCTATCTTTCTAGTATTAATAATTCTTCTAAATCCAACAAATTTCGATTGATTTGTCAGTTTTAATATGAAATTATAGAGCAATATAGTGGATTAATCCTAGATAGTAATCATATTTGTAATAGCTGGACTATAACCTTTGGACTTTGAAATATTAAAGTTTTGAAATTTGGCCTTCGACAGTATACGCATACAGCCAAAAGGTGGGTATAAATTGGCCAGCTGAGCTGTTTCATAGTTATACTGATGAGATTAAAACGGACTTTAACCTTTATTCGTAGTTATACGCTTAATCTTTCTTGCAATGAGATCTTGCGATAACTAAAGTTAATATATAACTCTCACAGGCAGCAATAATGTTTGATTTAGCACCGGCTTTGATTTATGCAAAGTTTGTAAGCCAACGTTAAAATTATAGTGATGCAAATATTTGCTAAACCTTTAAAATCAACCAGACGAATTAATTAATTATGTTTTCAATCTCCCAGACCTGATGTTGAAAGTGCATGAAAGCACAATTCTACTATTTTAAAAAGGTGATCACATCTAGGTATAACAGCATATTTTAATCATGGTGAGAGCGTTAAAATGGAC